AGGTGCACAGGTGTAATTTCCTGTTCAGGAAAAGCACTACTGAAAAGATCATACGTAAGACTACATCACATTAAAGGATCCACAGGAGATTCCTTGGACCAAAAGTAGATCAGAAATCATAGGTTTTTTTGCAAGCTGCCAATTTGGTGTTACAAAAAGATATCGGTCGAAAAAGAAGTCGCGTGGAAGAGAATCCTGACATTGAAAAGGAGGTTAAAACCAGTAGAAGTCTTCGAAGGTGTGAACAACAGAGAGTGCTTAAGAACTACATCAACAAGTTCATGTTTGTACAACACCCGTCCAAACATAGGCAGAATATCAAATTTGTTATCCAACTGCACAAAATAGAGTACAAATAACGCGCGAATAGAGTAAAAATATCCTGCGATATTCTACGATTATTTGAACAGTTGGTTATTTTGTACTGTAAAAAAACCTGTTTAATCAGTCAGCTGCGCGCGCTACGCTTCTCTATACGCTCTGCTTTTCCCGCCTTATGAGAAATGAACAGAAAGACTCAGCAGAAAAAAAAGTGGTTGGATAATAAATAACTTATTAGACGTATTGGCGTGTAGTATCGCTGAGTATTTCTACGGCACAACTCGTTAAAATACTCAGCGACACTACAAACCAAAAGGTCTCATAAGATATATATATCTAATTTTGTTAAATTAGATGTTAATGAACGGAACTTCGATTCCAACTGTGTCACAAACAGAGTCCGTCATAGGAACCAAAACTGGCGCCTGATGAGCAATCTGCCGGTTCCCTCAATTCCGTATCCGTCTGCTTTGGGAAAAAAAAGAATTGCAATCCTAAAGGCATACAATTTTTAGATTTCAAAACGTTATCCCGACCTCAGGTGCTATTCGAGTAAATAATGATGATGGTGAAAGACAAAACAACACCGATTATTGGAAACTTTCTTTAAAATTCTTGCCCAAAGGTGCGTATCATTCAAATACAAAGAACAGGATGCTTCATCTTTCTATAGTTATATCAACATCCAGCACCCCAACATTAAGATTACTATGGAGAGGGAAGAAAACCACCAGCTCCTCTTCTTAATTGTTCTTTTAAATGACAATAGAAATCAGGGCTTTATCACCTCGGTGTTTCACAAGAAGACTCCTACACTGGTCTTCTCACTGAGTTTTACAGTTTTGTACCTTTCAGTTACAAATCAGGATTAGTACGCACTCTAGTAGACCGAACATTTAAATTAATAATATATGGGCTGGCTTTCACCTTGACGTAAATAACTTTACTCATCGAGGATGTTGTAAGAAAATTTCTTAACAATAACTTCATGTCCGATTCTTCTCAGAGTGCTACTCGCAAGGAAAATTGTTTTTATTTTAAATTACCGTACATCGGTCCTTTTTCCATCACAACGCAACGCAGAATTAAGAAATTAGTTAGCACATTTTGCAGCGACCTTGACATTAAGTTGGTGTTTACCCCGTTTAAAATTAAGAGTTGGTTTAAGGTCAAGGATCCTATCCCTGCGGGTTTACGATTGCGAGTTATTTATAAGTTTTCATATGTAGGCTGTACTGCCTGTTAGTTGGTGAAACCAACAATCACGTCACAGTTCGCATCCGCAAACATCTCTCTTCTGACAAACATTTCCACATCTTTCAGCACCTGAGAGGTTCTGAAAATTGTCGCTCCCTTTGTTCAGAAGATTGTTTTAAAATTCTGGACTCTGCTTCCACAAGCTTCCAATTGAAAATTAAGGAAGCCATGCACATCCTCTGGGAGCAGCCGTCTTTAAATTCCCAGGTCAAACATCTTAATTTATCCCTTTCATACTAATTAGTCTCCTTAATTAGCTTAAGTAGTTTGACTTTTTTGTTTTTTTAATTATTCTTGTTAACATCTCACTTTGTTATACTATTTATTGCATAATTTCATTTATTTCTCATTATACAACTGACGATGGATGATGTTTCATCCGAAACATGTTTTGTCTTCATTAAAAAATATAAAAAAAATAAACTTCAAAAGCATCGTGTGGTTCATCAAAGCGATATCTTACTTCGAGCTGCAACGAAGCCTTATCGTCATTAATATTATTATTATTTTTATGATTACAATTGTTATTATTTTCAATATCATTATCATCATTACTGAGAATCATTTTGATTGTCATTGTCAGTATCATTAGTATTATTATCATTACCGTTATTATTATTATCACTTTGAACCTTTTTTCTTTAGCAGCACCACTAAAATCATTCAATGAGAAAAGATAAATTGGAAAGGAACGAGAAAAATTCGTGGGAGGTCCAAGAAAAGATTATCAGTCTCATCAGTCTGTCTCAAGTATGTCTAAAGTGGAGGACGGTATTGATACTGAGTCAAACACTTCAAAGGGATTGCGTCAACGTCTTGTCAAACCTTTAGGCCCTGTTTTTCTAAGTGGATAGTTTACAATCCGAGTCAGCGTACTCCATCTTTGATCACGCTTGTTCTGTCTTGGTTTTCTCTCTTTCTTGTGCTTTTTCTTTTTTTGCTAATCCGCTGGATACTTTGTAGTTCAAAAAAAAAAGTGCCTGAACTTAACGTTATTTTAAATGACGCAATAAGCGACCGATGAATTTGACGTTGATCGTTAAGTGCTTTAAGTGCGGCTAACCTGATCCTTAAAGAAGGACGAGAATAGCATGACAGACAATGATGAGGGAGCAATATTCAACGAGATAACACCACGTCGCGGACGAGGGGGGTCTTCTTTCATACGAGCTAGACAGATAAGGACCGATTTTAGTCCGAAACGGGTTTCAATTTAGACCCCTATGGTTTTAAAATGGGTTTGGTATCAAGGGAACCACCCTCTCTTCATTTCCACTGGAATTGATAAGAGAATAAAGGAACAGAGAAAGAGACTTAAACAAAATGTTACGTGCGATCTTCTGATGCATTTTACTATATCTTAACCTTGGCACTGATGCGAAACTCTGATGCGCAATTGCTGTTGAAAACCACCGGGAAACGTCACTCATGTAATATGCTAAGCGGTTTCGCAAACACGAACACGGCAATTAAACGTAGTCAAGGATTACAAAACTTTTCAATTAACCGACTGAAGGTCAAAACAATGCAGTATGTTACCCATGAACTTATTTCGAAAGTTACGTTCAGAAACGAATACTGATAAGCAGCCAGGTGTGGAAACAGGTGTAGAAAGTGACTTTTAATGAGGTACAATGATGGGTACCCTGCTCCCCTCCCCTCTGAGCCACGAACTCCTTGTCCGCAAAGGGACAACGAAGGCGAGCGCGGATTTAGAGGTCAGATCTTTTCGAAACCTCAGGCCTCTATTATTCGAAGAGCTGTCTGCGATGATCCAAGATAAATAGCCAGGCGAAGTTTTTAATTTATTTTCTCCAAAACCGTACATAAGGCTTGGGTTTTTTAGCAAGGGTAAAACTGAAAGACTAGTCGTCACTGAAAATAGAACTGAGCAGTGATACTCTCCTCTGAGCCATCAGAACTACATGAAAATGATATATATCCGTGAAAGAAAAAAAAAAAGAAAGAAAGAAAGATAGAAAACAGGTTGTGGACGAATGTAACAAGTAAGTAAAAAGCCATGCAAAGATAATCGAGACAAATTTACGCGCACAGTGGCTGCATCTACACTTCAGTGCGCAACTTTGAAACATTCAATAGCTACCCGACTGAGGTACAGTTCATATCCTAGTAATGTTGGAGAATTCTAAGGAAGCCTCATCGAAGCCCGTTGATATGATGATGTACCGTGAGACATATTCTGCAAAGGGAGGTTGCAAGGTAATTGAAAAGAAGTAGCGTTTGACCTCAGTAAGCAATTTTATCTCTTATATCCAACATTTATTAGCGTGCACGGAGAAAATCAATCACCATATACACGTAAACAAAATTGGTGTTAAGAGCCACTTCTTTCACAAGCACTCCTAAAAAGGGTCTCTTCTACGGATGAAATATTTTCAACTTCACGGGGCAATTTTTAGGGAGAAAATCTTTGCTGGGAACGTTGTAGAAAATGGTTGATGCTGAAGGTATTAGTAAGCAATTCTTTTAAGAAAGATACATTACTATCGGTTAGGAAACCAGAAATGGTTTCAGGTTTCAAGTGAAGCAATCGAACCTCCCCGGAACAAAGCACTTGTGATTGTACCTTTGATAGCTCTTAACAACATACTTGACGGGATATCGCTAATGGCTACGAACGCGGAAAGTCAAGTCAAATAATTACGACGTGAGGGGAAAGAATTACGAACAGTTGAGAGAAGTTTGTACGACTGAAGTATTTAAAACATGTTCCACTGTTGTTTACTTTGAAATGCAAAACATCACGTCTACGCGCGGTTGTGCAAGGGCGTATCTGTAACCGTGCCAAAATCTGCATTCACTGAGTACATAGCTGTAGTATTGAACATGTAACATTCTTCTGACAGTTTGTTAAAGTTGTCTGGTGACCAGCTGCTCTAATCATTGTGTTTTAAGAACGCCCGCCCCCGCCACGTGTCGTACAATAATGAGCCCTCTTAAAGAGAGCAGTGCCGTCACCTTGCGTTTACAGGGCTTAACAAATTTACCTTGCTAATCAAAAATGCATTCTTCATGTAAAACTTCAGCAAATTTAATGTCAATTACTATGTTGTTAGTTGACTAGGAAATGCGTAAAAAGCTTTAGAAACAACGTCAGAGATCCGGTGGCTTGTGAAAGAGGCTAATCAAATTTAAAACAAAACTTGCCTTAAGGCTAACTTGCCGAAGATCAATGAAACTCACTCGGATTTTGTTGTTCAAGAGGCTTAGTGTCCGCTCGAGTGAAAAAGACCCATTGTTTTCGTCTTTTAAGGGGTTGTCGTACGTTATTTCGGGCAACCAATCAAACGACACGTCGCTGTGATTTATTTGTCCAACGTGTGTATTGTCCTTGAACAATAAGCTGATATTATTGCTTTGAATGAAAAAAGGCACAGACATTGATGAAAGAGCCATTGTTATTCTCTAATAAACTTTATTTATATATTGCGATCTAGGAACTGTCTTACAGAATGTTCGGATCAAATGTACAACATGGTCTTGTCTATGCGCCTCAACAACCTAAGTATGACCATAAGAAGTGAACACGCCACTGGCTCTCCTTGGTTTAATTACTTAAGATTCTATAAGAACACATAGCTTATTTACATTTTCTAGTATTCAAGAGCCATGCTTCTAACGAAACGCTAACAATCTATCTTACTTCTGTTATATATAATATATAAATTTTCTTTTTATGATCTGAAGACTCAATTGCTCACAACACAAAGTTTCGATCAAGCGGTTTGATAATAACGGACCGCCTTTTGCGAAGACATGACTAACAGTAGACTTGCATAACATGAGCAATTCCCTGGTCGAATATCTTTGATGAGACTTCGGGCAACTCGATGTTGTTGGTTAATGTTACAAGTTTTCAGTGTAGTATGGTTTGATGCGAATCGCCATGCGGTTGACACGTGTGCTCCGCTGTTAACACTTCTAACACAATTATCAGTCAAAAACTGTTGTAGCACTCGGCAATGTTGTACCAAATTGTGATGTAACCGGCTGTAGATAAATCGCAAGGTGCACAACAGGCAAGAAATTTATACAAAATATAAACGCGTGCAACGGAAAGTATTGCACTTAGCTGTCGTGTTGACGTACCAGAGTTCATTCAATTTACAACTCACTGACACTTTGTACAACTGTATGTTACATTACGAAGCAATAGAGTGAAGGAATGTCTGTGCGGGAATGTCTTTTGACAGTTGCTCCACATTGTAGATTTTGTTTTGTTTTGAACAGAACTCGTCAAGGGTTCGTTTGGTTCTGTTTGTGTGTGTATCTCTTACACTTGCACGAGCGAACAACTCGTACCCGATACTTGAACTTGTTCCCGTCTATGCACACCACAGTCACCTTCTTAGTTTTAACTTCGTCCGGGACACAACGCCACTCTCTCTTACGACGACTGATGACTTTGGAATATTCCGGAAACCAGGGCAGCTCATCCATAGGCATGCACTGTCCATCGCAAATTAGGTCGCGGAATGGTCTTCTACTCGTGCAGCGGCCATTCGACACATACCTACGAATCCGGATTCCTTGACATCCAAGATTGAGAATGCCTAAGAAACAATACACATATGGTCAATAACAGACTTCCTTTGCACGCTGTCGACTCGTGGCACCACACACGCGTCCGGCCACTGACGAGTGTGAATGAAAATTTTCTGTACTGATCAATGGGTAAATAGCGCATAAGCGACGGATTCAAACAGTGTAAAAGTTTGTTAGAAGATGAATCATTTTGCTGCTAAATTACCTGCTGTTTGATGTGGCTTCTCTAATTCCAAGCCTGTTTCATCAGCAGAACTTTGAACCGCATTCGTTTCATTTGTAGCTGCTACACGAGGAATTGATTTTGCGGACGGTTCGTTCTGCCCATGTCCTCGCGCCTTTTGGCGAGCAATAACTCCATCCCAACACTTGCAGACGACAACGATTAGCAGTATGAAATTCCGTCGCCAACATCTCAATAAGATCATTATGCGTCGGGAATTTTTGTTCACAGTTATGAACGACTTTACAAGGAAGTTTAAGGTTAGGAAACAAAACTTTCCGTGTGTGGTGCTTTGCTGTTCAACAACTGGGAGGCGAATGTCAATAACACGAGATCTGGCGCCACTTGACATGAGATGTGCATGGCTGACCAATCGTAAAGCGTAGCTCCATAATAGCGCGCTCCCGCGAATGAACACAAATGACTTTGAAAATGAATCGGGTCAAACACAAAACACAAAGAGTTGTGTATTATTAAGAATATAAAAACAACCCAAAACACACCCTGAACGTTCTTTCTTAAACTGTGAATAAAAGCGACGTGAAAACAGTTGTGAAAGTTTGTTTAGCGAACAGCCACGTTCCTATTGGTGGTATGTAAATGAAGACTAAGTCTTGGTAAGCATCTTCCAGTATTCGTTTCCGGAGTCCTTTCATAATTTTATTGCACGCATGCTATTGGCAAACAAAAGCGAATAAACATCATCAATGTACAAAACGCATTCGCGTCTAACGTTTTATAAGGATTATCTCGGAATTTTGAGGATCTGAAGAACTGTGTTGAGGATGAAAAAAACTAACAGATCGAAGATTCTAGAAATTACCTTTTTATGTGACGCTTGTCGTGCGAATTAAGTGGTCTCATTGTCAGTACGGTTACTCTACACACAAAAGCTCTGCATGTAGCCTACCTCCCGTGATTTGTCAGGAGGTGCTCTCTCTGCTAATTTCACAGGTTGTCACAGTCCTTTTCTTAAACTATTTTCATGGAAAGCGACAAATCTTCTCCAATGAATGAAAATTGATCAATTTAGTAAGAAAAACAATATATTCTTCTATGTGCTGTGGCTGATATCAACTCTCAAACAGATCTTAGAGATAGAACTAAGTGTTGAGACGCCCCTAAATACAGGCCGCTTGTTTCACGCGGTTGTTATCTTTGGATAGTACTGCTCTAATAGGTTTGCCGTGAATTTTCGTACTCCAGTGTTTGGATTTAAATCAGGTTAGTCCTTTCTGCTTTCGTCTTCTATTTACGTTACTATTTTAAGACCAAAGTGAGTTGGCATGTCTTTTGTAAAACAAGAACTCGTTTCGATGTACCAATATATATAAATTGGTCGTGCTATTAAACCACTCATAGTATCGTTATCTTTACGTATTTGCACGGAAATGCTTATCACGCTGTACAAACTTTACCGCTATGCGTTTGAAGGAGTAAAACCGCTTGATAATAGTGTACTTGCCAATAACTTGAGGCACTTTTTGCTCACGTCACGGAAATAAAGAACTATAATTACTTTCGAGTGTTCCAATTCCGGTTATGTTTGGATGAGTTCCCTAATTTCTCTTCGTAAAAGATCTGCTTCGCTCTTGATGTTGGTTAAAACGTCAGAACCCTAGCTCTTCTCAATAATTCACTGATATTTCTGTGCGCAATCATCACACACATGCCACAAGCTATATCAAACACTATGAAACGTGTCGCTCATTTGAAAATAATTTTATAGTACGCATATTAATTGTTTACGAAGGAAACTCGGGACAGCAGTTGATTTCAGGAGTTCTACATCAGAAGATTGAGACATACACGATTGTAACCGGGAGAGCATGCAACCCAGGGAATAATTTCTTTACTGGTTTTTCCCGATGGGTAGCTAAATGGGTAGCTAAATAAAAAGTAAAATAGGGAAAAAATGAATAAATAGATAGCTGAATGACTAAATAAATATATTAAATCAATGCACTCATTAAATAAATAAATGAAGAAATAGGTTAATTAATTAAGGAGGAAGTTGGTCGGTGAATATGTAAATAGTTCAAGCGTTGATGACATACGTGTAAATCAGGAAAAATAATTTAAAAAAAAATACACATATAGCTTGACAAGGCTTGATGATCACTCGATCACTCAGAGTATTTGACCTCAATACAAAACTGGTAAACATGATATTGAAATCCGGTGAAACAAATGCATCAATAACGTAGCGTATTGAATTAGAGAATCGAAAAAGTTGTCCCTTTAAACTATAAAAAGAACATGTTTTTTTTCATAAAAAATCACAAAACTTGAATCATAGAAGTGGTTACTGTCAGAGACAAGATTGTCTCTCGAAGAGATATGAAGGGCCTATTTGTTCGCGTAAAGAAATAGATGAAGGAAATTAGTGGTCTATCAATCTCACCAGAAAAAATGGTCTATATTTGTTTGGTTAAATTTCCCTAGTGTTTTAATGTCGCTGTGAAAACTAAAGATGAATCTTCCTTTTTTAGTTTTCTTAACAAATGCGCGTCTTGTGTTGCTATTACGTCTTCTCTTTGTCCATTGGACTGTCAAACATTCTCTGTACATTTTCTCTGATTCAAGTTAAAATTATTGTTATACAATGATACTCCTGAATGCCACCACGTGGCCAAAAATAAATCTCAAAGTTAGCGACACAGTCAGGAATCAATAGGTCTGACTTTAACCAATCTGGTTCCTCATGTCATAATTGGGTACAATGTATGTAACGAAGCATGTGTTAACCCAATTTTATTTTATCTTTTTAATTTTTAAGCATGGGCCCATAACATGGGCCTATAAAGGCGAGTTTGGATTTCGAAATACCCTCAGGTTCAAGGTATTTTCTATGGCTAACTTAACGAAAACAGATATTATTCTACGCTGGAGGTCTTTTTGTGAATTGAATTAGCCCCAACGACTCGAATAATTTATTTACCCTTTAAACCTTAACATCAGTAAGTGTATTCTCAATACCGTCCTCCACACATATCCAAAAGTGCAGTTAAGGAGAATTTGTTTTTGAAACAATACAGAGCTTCTTTAGTTGTTGATCATTCCATTGCTCTTGCGACGTTCATGAGCGATTCAGGGATGATGTTGTAAGAAGAAATTCGATGCTGGTCACCCATGTGGATTTGACTTTCTATGTCCTGAAGCTCGCATGCAAACAGCGTGCCATTTGCTCATGTTCATTCATAAACCAGTGTAAGGCCATGTACGTGTACGTTTGTCCACAATCCTGATATTTAACCGTTGATGTCTTATCAGCTCGTTAGTGGCTTAACTTCGCAATTCGCCTCATTTCCTCCCCTACTTCAAGTTCTAGTAGCCACCACTGTAGCGTCTAACTTGCCTCAGCTAACAACCTCTGCGATCTTCAATCACTGAAGCTTGACGAGTGGGTTCATTTCAATGAAAGACAGTAGAAGATTCAAGGAAATTAAACGTTTAGAGTTGAACAAATGCCAAACTTCACAATTTTGAGTCGAAACCAAATGAATCAGAAAAAGATACGATACTCTCTCATTTGTATTAGACTCAGCACATGCAAAATTCGACGCTTATGTCTCAAATATCGTGAGGACTTAAACTTTTACTTTTCTTGCATTTTATCAAGACTTACTAAAAAAAAACCAAAACAACAACAACAACAAAGCGCCACATATAAATTTGGTCAACATTTACTTCTTCAAGAGCCCTAGAAATTAACAATTTCACAAGGATGTTTGTAATCCTCGTCAGTAAAAACTAGCAAAATACATAAATATTACAAGCAGACACCGCTATAAAGAATTAAGGTGTAGCGTATATCGGGTGTAACATGGACTTGTAAAGTGATACAGAATCGGCTTCCTAGCGCTGTGCGAGTTACCACACCAAGTCGCACATCAATCAACAGAAGTAACCCGACAGCTCTTTTTTTAAGCAAGAAAAACTTCATTAAGCCAGTGTGAGTTATTTTCAGTCACTGCTGGTTGGTTGGTGTGAAGTTTGATTTATAAAACACGAAAATATTTGGTTTTGTCCAGGCTGACGCATGCGCAGCTGCTGACTTAAAAACCGTAACGTTTAGCAGCAGTAAATCAGCTGCTGCCCAGTCCTCACGCCAAATAGGCGTAAGTATCTTTCTCTCCTTCCACTCGCTCGAGGTATTCCTTTTCTATTAGGATGTCGATACATTTCTGTAAACATAAATCCACAAACAAAAGAAAGAGAAAAAGAGAAATATCATTAGTAAGGTCACTGCTTCTATTGCAGTGCGCATCCTTACTGCGCATTCATTCAAGAGTAATTTACGCCATTACCGAACCAAGAGTTTCAGGTTGGCTATGCAAGACCCAATGCGCAATGTATAAAAGCTCTGGGGGTCGAGACTGGGTGTGCGCACGTTCGTTGAAAAGTAACAACTAATTTTGTGAGCCAGAACACGCCAGAAAGGCAAGCCGCTGCCGATAGTGGTCATCTATCTTTGCTATCGATTCTTCGAACTTGAATGGATGTCTTAACCCTTTAACTCCCACAAGTGATCAAACAGAATTTCTCCCAACCAAAATCAATACAATATCAAGAGGACGAGTGATAAGAATACAGAAAAATATCAATTAGGGAATTATTAGTTGATCCAATACCAAATTCTTTGTATGGCAAACTGTGAGGAGAACTAGTAATGAGACCTTAAAGTGAAAGGGTTCAGTAAGTAAGCCATTTCTCGCAGCACAACACAAACCGTAAGTCGTAGGAAACGTGAATTAAGTAAGCCCTCACAAATACAAGCAAAAGACCTGCATGTATATAGAGCTTCTGCTCCCTAACGGGTGCGAGAAATCTTCCTTACTTGAAAATTCAAGTTTCAAAACGATTATGAACCAAGGAACTTACCCTCTTTAAACACAATAGTCAGTTTGGCTTGGTAGTCAAATGCAGAAACATGAGAAAGAGCGGAAAAAGATATACCTTAATGACTGGAACCCTGGGTTTGAATCTGCTCGACAGCTGTGATAACACCTCTGCCAGCAGAGGTTGGTGTTTTAGCATCTTCCTCATCTTCATGATTCGTACAATTGCCGCCTGTGAACAAAGTAACAAAACTTGGTTACATCAGAGACACCAACGTCAGTTCTTCCTCTCCAGGCAGCAATGTGTCATTATCAAGCAAGATTCTTATGCTGGGCTGTCCGCCTGAGACAGGTTTAACATGTTATCAGCGCAATCTTGTCTATAAGACAAGAGTCGAGACTGTTTAAATTTGGACTTGAGAGTAAAGTTAATAGGCCACAAAGTCTCTTTGCCCTCTAGTATTTTCCAACTGTTATATTTCCAGTCGCAGCCCATTCATGGGACGCGAGGATTTGAGGTTCGCTGACATGAGCACTAACCTCAGATACTAGTTCTGCTAATATTACTACACTAATAACAGTAATTAATAATAATAATAATAATAATAATAATAATAGTAATAGGAATACTCGATATTTTTTGCCTTCGCAAAAGAATATCAGTACGCATGGCATACCTTTGCAGTACAGATGCACCACAGGCTCATTCAACATTTGCATAATGAACAGAAAAAATGGCCTCGCAACAAAGGTCACGCACAAACAACTTTTTACCTGAATGAGAAGTTTCCTGTCTTCCTCGATGTATTTGTGTGTTTGTTCCTGTTCTTGTTTCTGCTCTGTTTTCATCGGCACATTGATGTTAACCCTCAGTTTCTTACTGTCAAGTGAACAAATTTCATTCAAATTTATACGTTACAAGTGTGCAAATTCGGTAAACCTTAGTGTCGCTAGAAACAGATACTCCAAAATCCGTCACCATTATGCTATGTTTTACCGATTAGGATGCACATGTACCATTTGATAATCACATAAAATTCAAACACTTTAATACACACTTGCCTTTTGTATCCTAAGTTAAGGCTGACTGAGGTCTGGCGGTCTATGTTGGAGCCATCATCAGATGTCTCGCACACCTGGCCGATTGAAAAAAAAAACCATTTGCCTAAGCATTGTAAATTCGTCCTTAACTCGGTCTTTTTGGCCTAACTGATCGACGAGGAATACTACAACCATCAAAATCTGACGGGAAGACGCACAATGCAACCTTCCACAAGTAATTTACGTTTCCATTGTTTACCAATACTTTTAAGCGAATTCGTTTTAATCGAGACAAAATTCCGCCATGTTGGACTGTTTACTCCTGAAAAGCAACTTACAGCCAGAGTGCCAAAGGAGTCAGAATACATTGAGGTTGAATTATTTTTGAGAGAATCACACTGCTTCTAAACTAGATTCAAAAATTCTCTCAGAGCTTATCAAACAAAATCACAGTCTCACTCACAAGAAGCTTTGACTTCAACAAAATTCCCAGGACTTGCGAGAGAATATCCTGCGAACAGAGAAATCATTGAAGGTATTTAACTATGTTTCGGTGCAAAATATCTATAAAACAGATTAATGGCACGGATCGAAGAGTTTCAGATAATTAACGTTCCTTGACTAAGAACTAAAGTGATGGAAGAAATATCTGTAAGTTTCTGGCTTTGTTAAAGAATAATTTATCGTGAACACGATATTGTACACGATTGTAAATAAAAGGAACATTTCTCTGCCAGATTACAAGAGTGATAGAATTTTAAAAGTAATTTTTTCTTACACTGCAAAGAGCACTCACCGTTTTAAGTTGAGTCTGTTCTTGAATCTGTTCCATAGTCAGACTCTCCGAGTTATTGAACATGAGCAAAACTCCCATCTGATATGTCGATGCCTACAACCAAAAAAAATACATTTTTCGCGACACAAAAAGCTGCAAGCAACTAAGAATAAGCATCGCTTCCAAGGCGCAATAGGCAGTAGGGTTTTCTACGAAGAGACAGGAGAAGCGTGAGCTATGAGAGAGAGTCAAGCGAAAGCATAGGGCAAAATGGAGCAAACATACTAGGCGCAGGGGAAGGGAGGGGAGAGCTTTTTCCGTCCCTGTCCAACCAACTAGTTCATCGCTTATCACTCGCTTTCGCCCCATGACCTCGCACACCTCCTCCCCAGATAAGAGGAGACAAAAATACCTGCCAGGCAGGGCAAGAAAGCGATTGCAACCGAGCGTTTATTATTGGGTATCACCAAAACAGAAAGTAATCATATCAACCACGAGAATGAGAAGTCAAAGTGAAAACGAGCAACCTGTGTGTAAGGAGGGAAAATGCGACTGAAAGAGTAAGAATTAGTTTTATTTTTCAACTGATTGATTTAAAGGTTGGTGTTTTTTTATATTTATCAGGGCAGAGTAAAGCAAAACCGATGCAATTCCGCATTATTTTCGAAAATGTCACAAAGCACTTTGTTTGCCTAGTGGATCAACTATTGCAGTGAGACTATTAGCACAACTGATGAAGGGCAAAACGTTTCGCGACTATCATTTTATCGTTGAATGCACCAGGGTGCGTGGTATTTTACTTAAATAATAAGAGTGCGGTTCGTATACGCGAAGGAAAAAACGAAATTGAATACAATGAAACACCACACTACCCAAAAGAACTGTGCCCTCACCTGCAGAATGTAACGGTTTTTGAAGCAGTTTGTGACTAGTTCTCCCTGTAAGAACAATTAACAGCTTCCATTAGCTTACGTTTGTGGCAAGTGGAAAACGAATCAGCATCAGGTTCAAGAGGTATTTCTCCAAAAAATTTAAAAAGAAAAGAGTGATTGCACCGCAGCTGGAAAAGATGATTCTGTGACTTAACATCCTGTTGTTTGGAATGATAGCTTTTTCAGGCTACATTTTTCACACGAATTACGGCTCAGGAGTAGTAGTACCACTAAATAACACCTTCTCTGATGTGATTTAAGAATGTCTGTGAGAACACAGTTTTGTTGACCTTAGACATGTGGTAAACCCAATGTAGCTTCCGACCACTGTGTTGACTGCTGTAAAATGTCGTGAAACGTTGATGACTTCTTTCCATCTACATAAGAAAAGGAGGAACAAAGTTTAGCTCACACAGCCGCTGCTGATAGATGACGAAAGGCTTCATTTTCACAGAGATGACAGATATGCTTGTGTAGCACACACTACGGTGTATTCAAGTTTATTTTGTGTCATTCGCAGGTTTAATCGTTGAACGACTACAAACTTAAAGCGGATGCTATATGCAGTGCAATGCAGCTAGATGAAGTGATGTGGAATACAATGCAATACAGCTAGATGAAGTGATGTGGAATACAATGCAATACAGTATAGGTAAGGCTTATTGCGAGTGTGAAAACAAGTGTTTCGTTCGAAAAGATTCCTTCACACTTGAAAGCATTTTAAAATCAAACCGTTTTACCTCTGCTGGTAGTGAAAATGGTGCTGATTGCTGGAACGGCCACGAGCCTGAACTTAAAACCTGGATTGTAAAGTCCACTACGAATACAGAAATCAGAACAAAAAATATTCAGTACTACAAACAGTGAAATAATAATGATAATAATAATAATAATGATGATGATAATAGTAATAATAATAGTAATAATAATAGTAATCATAATAAATGAACGAATCATCGAAGAAGTTACTTATTCTAAAGATACCACCTAAAAAAAACATTACTCTTGCTTCCATACAAAGTCAGTTCATAGTAAATTTATCTTCATCGCGCGCAGTGAAGATAGCGGTTATATCTGCGAACGCGGAGATAACGATGCTGACGTGGTAACAAGATATACCTAAATGACATTGTATGCTTAATTTGAATTTATATCATCTTATCATCATCATCGAAAAAAATTCTTATAAAGAGCTTATACAACATTCATGCAAGCTGAGTTTGAATGCAGGTGATCACTGCATTTAGTGCTCTTAAATGTATTAAAATTGTCTTTGATAAGAATACTTCACTATTATCTATAACATAAAAGAACACTATGACATCCATACCTCATCAACACTCGAAGATGCAAGTAAAATTTGTATTCGTGCACAGCCACGCAAAATCATATACAGTATACAGTAGCATTAGTTTCGTACAACTTCACTTTGTAGTGACTTACAATCTAAAGATTCTGTGTTTGCTAGATGTGCCTTGAACTTGTCATTGAGATCTTTGCTAACACCTATGTCTTGAAACATTCTTTGAAGTTTTGATGTGTACTCAAAACCACATGCTTGCTGTTAGGAGAGAACAAATCGAAACAATGACATCCAAGGTAACAAAAAATCCTCCTGACTACATTCTGATTGCATTGTGTGATGGCCTTGGTGGGAGTAGCCCTAAAGAAAACTTCACTCGAGAGAACTTTGGTGATTTACTATTTAGGTTTCATTGCCTGTGGTAGTCATTCTAACTGACAAAAACGTTTCCAGGACTCCTCCCATATATAATCAGAACACTCCCCTTTACCTGCATAGTCTCAGCCTTGTGTGTACATCTCTAGGAGTTTTTGTCAGCCAACTTCCGATGACTAGCAGGATGAACTATACTGGGGAAAAGGTTTCTTGTAGTCTATTTCTTACTCAGATTTATCCAGTCCAAAAAAACCTTTGACTACAGACAGAACTAAGTACCCTAATGATTGTGAATGTCTGAACTGTAAGTCAAAACTGCTTCCTTTGACTGACAAAACAATGTTAGATTCTGACGGACGTTACTGTTATTGGGACCTTGCACTGTGTCCCTTTGGTGTCTGTATGAGAGGTTTGACTGTACAACTAAATGTGAGTTCCTTGCATTGATACACTTTCCATCCTTATATGCTGTGTCTAATGATTGTGTTACCTTAAGTTTAGAAATCATGCTAGCTTCTGCATCATCTGAAGCTGAGTTATGTTGTACTAATCTCTTAGCCAACATCTTGGAATAAAACTTCTGGAAAACATCTTTGTCTTCAATGTACTTGAACACAACCATCTACACAACATTTGAATGGAAACACATAGCAGTCAAAAAGCTTGTCTCTTTAAGGTTGGCAACATGAAAAAACTGTATGGTGAAAAATTTTATGCATGACCACTCACTACAGAGTTGAGAATGTCTTCCAATTCAGCTTCTTCTGGATTCTTTGAGCTATGAATGAAATAATATTAATGTTCAGATGTGATTTCAAATTTTATCCAGAATCGAGAACATAATGCAGAGTTCTTAGAAGAAATCAAAAGCCTTTCTAGAGGTGGTAATCAGTATGCCTCCTAAATCTACCCTCACAATCTTTTAACAAGGCATTTCTTGCATACATACAACCTGGAAGAACTTTATGCTTTTGTATATTAGAAGAATAATTTTAACAGGTTACCTTTTTTTTAGCAGTGAATCGCAGTATCTGGCAAGAAGTTCAGGAGACTTTGATGAGCTATTAGCTTGTTTAGTGACAGAGTTACTATTAATAAATTTGCCACATGCCTGTTAAAATAAAAGAAAGTAATAACACATTACTAACATCAAATAACAACTAATCACTCAAAATGGACAACTCATTCTGCTGAAAAAGGAGTTATTAAAAAAGCTTGTCTCATCAACAGGTGGCCAAAAAGAAACCTTTATTTACTCTTTGCATTTCCATGTAAACTGAAGACTGATACTTTCAAGATATTTGTTTCATCCAACCATGGGCATACTCCATAAAGCTAAAGTACCTTGTCTAGTGCTGCTACAAATCCAGCATCATTGTTAAAAGCTGTCAAGACAAGGGCATTGTACTTGTGATGTACTTCAAGAATAGTTTCTACATACACCTTGGGGTCCTGAAAGAGTAACATATCATTAATAAATGATCAAATATCCTCTTCCACTACTGATAATTTGAAATAATAAAACATTCATTATGAAAAACAAGATATGTGTTAGTCTTACTCACATTAAATGCTTGATCTCCACACTTTTCTAAAGCATTAAGACCCTGGTTTGTTATGTGATTTTCCAAAAGGGTTCGAAGCTGCCCTAATCCATCAGGTATTCTGGCAACCAAGTTGTACATGCGACCAAGATCTGAGATACAAACAGAAATTACAGTAAAAGGGTAAATTGGAGGGCAAATAGAGAAATTCAATTTGACAAAACTAACTCAAGATGTCCTAGTTTTTTTTTTTGAGACATAAAGGGCTGAAAAGTTTTGGAAAATTAAAGATCAAGAAGGACAAATATTCTGAGTTAATACTTAAGTTATCTGCATGAGATAAGTCATTCCTAGTAGGCTTATTAATATTTTTACAAACCTTACCTTCATTCTTGTCATCATCTAAAAGATTTTGGAATTCTGAATAAAAAATATCCAGATGCTTTTCTATCAGCACATGTTCACATTTCCTTGCAAGCTAGAAACAAAGAAGGCAGCACCTTTAGTGGAGATTACAAACTAATTTCCAAGCTGCTCATGTTTGTATGCACTGGACCAAAATTCAATACTTTTTTAGCAACAGGTACATATCACCAACACATCTTTCTCTCTTTGATAGGGGAGCTCAAAATTACCTCCTTCTTAATCTTTCTCTATGTAGAAAGCTTTCTACATTTCTGTACAACCATTATCAGTTGGATGAGGTGTGGAAAAAGTTTAGAGATGGTGTGGTTATGGGCAATCTTCCTCATAACCAGTGGTACAGAAATCTCAAGAAAAGTGTATTCCCAACTGTCAAACATGAAAGCCTGCCAAAAGCAGTCAAACGACATGTTGCATATGGAAACAGAGCCAGTTGTGTGTAACAAACATACAATTCCAATGATAAAATGTGGTCGCCAAACTTCTATAGCTCCTAACTCCACTAAAAATCATATCAGATCATTTCAATTTAAAATTTAATCAGGCTGAGATACAAATCCTGACACTGGAGCTAGATTTTTCTTTAAACCCCTACCAATGAAAATTTCTGGCATCTTATTTATTTCAGCTTAACTCCTTTTCAAGAAAAGTAATTGCAATATCAAGCCTATTTTATCATTCATTTCATACTCCATCTTGTGTGCTTTCATGTAGGTAAACTTGGACCCTTCTTTGTTCCTCTAATAGTCTGGCCTCAGCCTGATAAAAACAATAATACAAAAATATACAGAAATCAAATGAAAGTCATACATGTTTAAATTGTTTCACATCAATATACATGTACATGTGAAGTGTTATTTTGTTCATTTCAAGTTTCAAAATATAACTACAATCATTTATGACACTAAAATTAGACACAGCTCTCCTCTTTCACATACACACACATACACACACACACACACACACACACACAAAAAAAAGAAAACTGCTTAAAAATCAATAAGGTAAAAAAAGGTTAAACCTGCCTCCCCTCATATTCAAAGTAAAGGATTAACAGCTGCAACACTACATGTAGTACATTCAAACACTGATTATCCAGACCTCATTTATCTGTTTTTTTTTTCTTATACAAAATCTTTGGGTCCCATTTTTTATGAATATCAATTAATCACATTCCCGATCCATATAACTTTTTTCCATCATGCAAAGCACATGTAATGAAACTTCCATTGGTAAAGAATTTGTTCCACTCTTCAAAGCAATTGAATGCTTAGATAAATTTTTGCAAATACCTTTGGCCAATGGTAACAATTTATGTACCATGATTTGAGAATGTGCTTTAATTCCTACGCAATGTTAATAGGTCCTTTAGGTTATTCAGTTTTATTTTGGCTCATTAATATTCATATTTTTACTATCCAGACTATTCAACACCATCTTCATGAGTCCAGACAATCGAGGTTCAACTGTAACTTTGATGAGAAGTTTGAGGATATAGAATGAAAGGATGATGGAGACATAGTAATTCAAGCCCACTGAGAAAGTCTCAAGTATGTGTACAGGGGCATCTGCAACTACTGTTAGTCAGTCACATACTACAGGAAATTTCTCAGAGAGCAATAATGGAGCTGAAGTATTTCCTACCAATAATCAGAATCCTCTAAAATAAAGGTAATAACACAAGCAAGAAGCTTACATGTTACAGTTTTAATTGATGCAACTCTACCTTTTTCATGTACTCTGTTACAGGGTTTTCCCTCAGAAATTCTGTACTTTCTGTTGTGTAAAATCTCTCTGTATCTTCCAAAAATACTGACTCAAAAGAGGCTTTGTAAACACTGAGGGTAGGTCCTTTTGCTGAAGGATCATCTTCATTCAGGCCAAGTTCAACTGTAAGAAGAAAAATTCATATATCTATGTACTCAACAAAACATGCTGTTTCTGATTGGTCAATGACGAAATCATGGCTGCAACCAAATAATCTTCATTCATCAGTGCAACTCCAGTAGTAAATGCTGTACAACTGGATTAAAAGCAAACAGACGCAAAATATACATGTACAACTTGGAAATTAGAATTAAACATGGACCAGCATCCTATTTCTCCTGACAGCAATACTGCTGAATCATTCAGTAAGATTGTGATAAGGGAAATGATAACGGACCTACAAAGCTTTGATTATTAAACAAATTCACCCTGTCAGTACCATAGGAAATGTATTAAGAAGAGCATGTAGAAGAGGAGTACCAATGTTGGTGTATAAAGGAGTAATGTAACATTCTGCAGTGGAAAGTGAATATTAAATAAAAATTCTGTTTTATTTTCACTTTCCACTGCAGACTACAAGCATTTATTCAAATTAATTTTATCCATATTTTTCCAAACCAAATTAACTTGTCCTCACTGGAAACATCAGAAGGGTGTGTTTCAATAGTTTGCAAGGTGAATATATGTAAAGCAGTTTAAGGATTAATCCAAAATCAAAATGTACCATAACACTGGATCACTCCACTGACAAGTCTTGTGTTGATGGTTTCACCATTCCTTTCTCTCTCAATTAACCTCAGCACAGCATTTGTCACCTGTTAAAAGCATGGTAGTGATGAGCCCACTGGATAAAAAGGAACCCTGAACACTACAACAAGTATTGACACAAAGATAAGGAGACTGATGAGTTGTCAAGTCATTACCTGTCTGTTGAGTGGTCGGAATAGATTTTCCCTCCATGTTACTAGGGCAAGCTTAAAGTGGACAAGAACAAAATTAAATTAAGAGTAGTTGGTAAAAAGTGTCTAACCAGAACTAAATGATTTCTATGTGTACATATAAATGATAAACAAAAAGGGGAGAGAGTATCTGTGTATGTGTGTATTTTGCATACACTAATACACAAATATTTTTTGTCTTGTTTCTATTTCACTTTGTGGTGTGGCCAGCCTCAAAAAGCTTTGATGTCATGTTTTTTATTTCTCATTCTAATGGCTTAAATCATCATATCTCAGGGATATATGAACCACATGTATGCATGCACAACTGTACACACATAAAGTCAAGCAATTTCAAGATACTGGTACAGTAAACCAAAAAAAAAAAAGTGTCATAAAAATAAGGTGACATGAACTAGAGAAATGACACTAGAGCTGTAAGTGATAAAGTGATCCTTGTGGCCAAGTTTTTAATTTATGCAATTCACACAAATGAAGCCTGAAAGGTAAACTTCCTTTGACAATCTATACGTGCACATCTATATTGCTGATACTTACTGAATAAATTTCATATATGCCTTTTCTTCCTTCATCACACTCTCGGCGAACCCAATGTCGGTTGAGATAAGCGCATACCCCATTTAAAACTTTGCTTGAAAACCTATAATCCTCCCAGCGGTGGGTGTAGAATTTAAGGACAGACTCATCCATCAGATCAGCACCATCCTATCACAAACAGTCACAGTTTATCTCCAGTTATTTTACGGAAGACACCAAGGCCTAGTTGATAGCACACTAGACTGCGGGTTCATAGGTCCAAGTGTTTTTGGTTTGTCATTGCATAGTGTTCCCTGGAAAAGACTCTTAGGTCTGATAAATACATGTATTCTATATTACTTTTCATGTATGCCCAGGTAAAAATAGTGTCAACAGTTACACTACATTAGGTCCAGGGAAGTTGGTACCTTCAAAACATACAACTTGTAACTGTCCAAGTACACATACAAGTCCATGTGGAGCAAAGTTAATAGTACCATAATAGTTGCATGAAGAAACTTAACACAGACAAATTCATTAGTGCTGACCACATATAGTACCGCTCAAGTATGCATTAGCAGAAAAACGCAAACAAAACACCCAAAAAATCTGTATAAGGAAGACACCAGTATCTGATAGTGTCCAGTGCAGTTTCATGCAACAAGCACAACTGAAAATTAGCTGAAAACATGTCCTAACCTTCTGCATGCCTATAAGATAAGTCCTAAGGAAGTCTTTGAGTCTTTTATACAATTCAAGGCCTACAAACTGGGCTCCTGTGAAGAAATACAAACATTTGTTCAAACTTGGTTATATCTGGGACATAACTATAGTAAGTAAAAACACAGCTATTTTGATTCACAGGACACCAGACAACATTGTTCAGACTCTCTTTTATCATAACTCCTGTTGTCAACATTGTTTGGAGACGAATTGGGGAGAGTCAATAACCTTAGAAAAAAAAAAACTAGGTAATCCATAAAGCACTAAAAGATAAAGTACAGAGTACAGAGTACAGAGTACAGACAAATTGCATGTGTTTTCTTGGCAGTAACCAAAGGACTTATGGCAAAATTGTAAACTGTTCTTATGCAAATTCTACTTCTCTATTCTTAGCAAAATGAATGTAGAGTTACTAGATCAATCTAACAGTCCAAAAGTAAGGACCCTGACCCAGGGTGTGAAATTAACTTTTTTTTCTGATAGCCACTTGGCTCCTAAATTCTTCAAAGTGGTAGCCAATTCAAAAAAGTTGGTCGCCATTTTCAAAGACAAACAAAATCTTTCTTTACGCTGTCAGTGTTCTAGATAGACCCTCCAAAATTACGTTAGGGAAAAGATTCTTTAACGTGCTGAAAAGTGGACACTAGGATGGATATACAACATCAGGCTCATCTAAATCCAAGATGGCGTCTAGTTATCAATTGAGATGCATGTGCTACGTTTTGGAAACAAACTTAACGAGGAAGATTGCCGCAGATTTATCTTTGCAAGTCTTTTTAATTTACTATATCTCTTGGTAAGGTTATGTTGAAACGTTCTAGTCGCCAATTTGGCGACTAACTTTCAGGATTTGGTCGCCAAAGTGAAAAATTTAGTCGCATTGGCGCCTGTATTAGGCGCAATTTCATGCCCTGCCCTGACCCTTCTCCTATTTGGTGCAGTGCTCCAAGCTGCAACCATTTTCAACGTCATGGTGAGTAGAAAAAAGTTTTGAGCCACAAATCAAGTCATAATATTGCTATTACTTCATATTGGCAGTCTATAGGTAATGGAGGAACATTTTCATAAGTGTTATAATTGTTGTTGTAATTGTTGCTGTAATTGTTGTTGTAATTGTTGTTGTAATTGCACAAAATATTCTTTCCTGCTTGTTTCTCTCCTTTTTTAAAAGTTGGGGAAAGTCTTGGTTTTATGGAAAAAATTTTGGATAGCCACCTTGATACTCTCCAGTTTTCTATGAGTCTCTCCTGGTGGCTAACATTATCTTTCCATTTAAAGGGCACTTTGGCAAATTTCTGACCACATTAAATTTTGCAGAATTTGCAAAAAGTCTGGAGCCCCACTGACAGGTTTTTTTTCTGCTTCTTTCCCTGGATTGATACCTTTAGTGGTTTGTACTTTCAGGTAACCAAACATGTGCATGTGTCACACAAAGGTCTCTTGGGTATATAACAAGTGCATTTAGAGTATCTCATTCATGTATATGAGGACTACTATTAAAGCTTTCATGCAAAATAATATTCAAAGATAAATTGAAATAATTTACCCTTTAACTCCCAAGATATGATTGTTAATTCTCCCCTCTAGCTGCTCCACGTTTTCTTAGAATTGGTTGAGAAGATTTGGTTTTGGATCAAGATAACTTCTACCTGATAAGTTTCTCATTACCCGTTTGCTGGATTATGTAGAATATTACAAGGAGAAGTTACATGTTAATCACTTCTGGGAGTTAAAGGGTTAAATGAAGATTAATGAATGACCTACCTCCCTGATTTGGTGCCTTCTTTTGCTTTGGAACTCTGGATTGTGACTGTTGATGAACACTGGTGCAGTGATTGTACACATGTCTGAAAACCTGTCAAGGAACTTAACAAACAACAAACACATACATCCACACATAAATTGGCTCAAAGGGTTACCACATTCAAAGGTTTTTTCTAAGTACCTTGAATTTTCCCTGAGGATTCTAAAATTCCCTAACCAACTGATGAGCAATTAAATAGATGTGACAGTGAAAGGCATAACAGATACTAATAGAAAACTATTTGAACAGTAAAAACGCATAGATGACGAATGGTTGACAAATGGTCCTTGAAGTGTTCGTACCATTTGCCTAACCGTTCAAAGTGAATAAATTATTTAAATGGTTTGGTCAGCCGTTTGAATGGATGAGAAAAAATTTCGAACAGATGAGTAGAAATTTCGGACAGGCAAACCGTTTGAATGGGTGAATAAATTATTTCAACGATTTGATAAGCCATTCAAATGGTTTGCTTAGCTGCTCGAATGGATGAGTAAAACAGATAATGTCAAACAGACTGGCAAGCCATTCAAATGGATGAAAATATTATTAATCTGTATGATTGGTTGTATGATTGGTTTACTAACCAGACTGATGTATAAATTGCTTAAACGGTTTGCAAAACCATTCTGAGCTCATGGCTTGATCATGGAACGGGCAATGTTGCTGTGTATTGTTTTCATTTCATTTGTCGTTATTGTCAATTTCAAGGCCTTTATTACCATTACAATGCCTTTCAATGCCCATTATTGTATCAAAAAAATTAAAAAGAAACAATGAATAGAAAATAAAAGGAAATATAAACATCATTTCATTCATAAACCTACTTGAACTTGAGTAAAGATATACTGGTCAGGAATCTGTCAACTCTACTAAACAATGTACACAAGTAACATAGACATCATAGAAAGGAAAGTGTCACCATCTCTCATCAGAAAGAGGGCTTAAAGTCCAGATGAATAACCTCACTTTTCTCTGCCTTTTTTCAAAGATTCCCTGGCTCAAAGTGAAATTCCCTGACTTTTCCCTTGCCTTGAAGGAATTTGTTTTTCCCTGACTTTTTCCTGACCTGTGGCAACCATGAGCTCAAATAATCATACATCACTTTTAAGGGAAAGCAATAGCACTGTGAAACAGAGGAGGTTCAGAAATTTTGGCTTCTGATATAGTGTAAAGTTATCTCATGATGAGGAATTTTCAAGTGATGATTGCAATAGAAATGTTCCCTCTCTGGATATACCCTTGAAATGGAAATAACAAGTGAAAATACATATTTCAGATTTGTAAACCAGGCTTAAAGCAAAATCTTTTTTTATCCAGAGACTTTCAGTTTGATACTGAACACATCCTTGTGATGAACCACTGAATTGTTCACAGAGAACTATTTTAGAGTACCAGGGTTGTGAGGGCATGCTGCACTATGCAAATTAAACAAGAACAATACCAACAAACAAACAAACAAACAAATCAGCAAGTACAATTGAGGGAACCCTTTCAATGGCAAAATTTCCTATTTTTCTTTGTATGAGGAAACCATATCCCTGCATGTGAGCAATCAATGAAGTTCTACAGAAAAAGCACTTGAAATTAAATGGCACAGGTGAAGAGCACACATATTTTCAAAGCCTTATGACTTAGCTTTTGATTCAATTTATAATCCACAAAGTGCCTTTAGACTCACGACCAAAGTCTTGAACAGCGATAAAATGGTTCTGTGGAGTTTTGGTAACACTGTTAAAAGGACCATAACAACTATATAAAAAATCACTTTGTTGATTACAGTAGTGCAATACCTAGTGTATACAACACCATGACATGATTCACAACCAGAAGGATACGTGTAAAGTTCCATGTAGCGTGGTTTAGACATACTTTGTTGCTTATAAACATGCTGTATTCCTTCTCTAAGGTCATCCCAGATTTCATCTAAAGTAATTTGACGTAATCCATGAGGATTTTGTGTCCTAGAAGCCATCGTGTTCATTATTGTAGCCTCAACGAACGCAAGCTATCGTAAGACGGGCTTCTTGGAAAAAAAATGCTTTCCTTGTGAGTCAGAGGAAAGCTTCGCAGCTCTCTTTACCAATAAAACTATCCTCCAAAAGATAACAGTGACAGTTAGAAACTTACAAGCTTCATCCCAAACGAGAAGAGTTCACAGTTTGACAACTCGGATGCATATACAGTCGCCAACCCAACTGAATGGTTGAAATAAATGCTTGTTTTATCGCGTAAAAGGCGTCAATCAGGCACGGTTTCTTTAAGATATAAAATCCATTCCTTTATCTTGAGGTCTACTTGAAAAATACTCCGTGCCTGGACAAAGATATCATCTTTTTATGACTTTCTTTTTCGTACATAGCCGGAGGAACGTAAAAGTAATATGGCGGCAGGTCTGTGACGTCACAAAGCCAAGACCGAAATGCATGCTCACCCGCGCCTTTCAAATAAATTCCGTGTCACGCGGTTTAATCTGCAGCGGACAAAAGGAGGAGAAATTATTTTTTCTTTCCGTAAATTTCCCATAGATATAAGAAAATTATATCAGAATAGTAGATAAAATATGGCCGTGAATCTAGTTATTTAAGGATCTAATCCCTTGAATTTATCTATAAACTGGCCAGCTGGGACTGTAAGATCATTCTGAGTCCTCAGATAAATAACTTGCCTCCTTGGTTACTTCTATCATTTGTCAGTATGATTTTTTCAAAACGAAACAAGCAGAAATAAAAAGTGAATTATTCACAAAAAATACAAACAAATAGGACCTAGCTAGAAAATTTTTTTAAGGCAACGAGAATCCTCAGATAGTAGAAAATGATAGTCTCCCCCTCCCTAAAGTGGGGGGGAGGGGGGGGAATTCCTAGTAATAGGCTGATGGAGATGATCAGCTGGATGGAGTCGCATTTTCACCATTTTCAGTGGAGTTACTAGAATGGGGTCACGCATTTCCGGAATATTGGGGATAGGAAAATTCAATTTTTGTTCGCCTGATCATGACTACTACAATTTGTTATTGCCATCTTTTGCAATTCTAATACAACACCGCCACCTTTGGTAGATCTAAAAAGTCTCAGCCATATTTCATAAGTATGCATCAACTCCTAAAACTATGTTTGGCTTTAGAAGCTTTCTTTTTAAATAACTGAGGTTGTTGAACTCATCAGAAATGAACCTATATTTCCGCATGTCTACTGTTTGATGATCATTAGGGACGAAATTCTGAGAATTTGTGCGGAGTAATGCCATAAAATGTAAAGTTCGTATTATTGTGGAGTGAAATTCTTGTTGTATTGTTTATTATGCAGTTTTCGATTATTTTGCTGATTATTATTTTTTTGGTTGACCTTGGGAACTAAAAACCTGTCCGTACACATGCTTGTCGTAGGTTCGATACAGGTGGGCATATTTGAGATTTCTCCAGAGCAGGCTAATAACAAACACTAAATATGATGGTATTTTGTGATTTTGCACATTCCATATGTTGTATTAGAATTGCAAAAGATGGCAATAACAAATTGTAGTAGTCATGATCAGGCGAACAAAAATTGAGACTGTCACTAGGAACCAAATTGCAAAACATTGAAATAATACTAAAAATTGATATTCCTAATTGTTGCTGACTCTGATTCCATAATAAATCGAAGGAACAGAAGGATAACGCATATACTCTTCGTTTTCGCATATCTTAATTTTGCAGATGTGTATAAGTTATTTTCGCTTTTTAGTCATGGCTTTCGAAAATGGCACAGGGTTGAATGATATTTTAGAATTCAGGGTTAATGGATCAAAGTCCTTAAGGCAAAGCGTCACAAACTGGTTAAATTACGTTAATATTTTACCCTGTATTTCACTCAATTCTTATCATTGCGGGGGAGATTACCAGTTTTCTAATAATGCATTAGGCGGACGGCTAAATCCGGCAACAAAATGTGTCAGCTAAAAACCGGAAAACAATATAAGAGTACCGTGAATTCTCATAAGTTTCCGTATTTTTATAATACCTTATCATGGGTTCAGTTGTTTCTCGGATCGTGGAAAATTGTCGTTGAGTATTAGTTTAACGGGGAAAAAACGAAACAAGGATGGTTTGAATTAAATCAAAACGGATTAAAGTGAAAAAAATCATTGACAAATGCGGAAAATTTGGGCTGAGTTCTCGAGATTTTTTAGCTTTTTATTAAGAGGGCTCTGTAAGCTCAATTTGACAGTTTGAGATATTCCAGTTATTTTTTTTAACCTAGCATCAATTCAATTTGTTGTAGTTTCATTGTACAAGCTGTAAAAGGACACTTGATCTCTGTATTGCAAAAATGTTTGTCCCCTTCTAAGATTAAAAAAAGATTCACCTCGCGATAACTTGACAATTAGACAGAGATTTATTGAACGCAAAACTCAGTTCAGTACAGTACGTACTAGTAGAATAGGACAGGATACTTCTGTCAATTTTTCTGCAATATTCATTGTATTTTTAACAAAAGCACCGGGACATTTCACTTCCTTAGCATCGACCTTTATTTACAGTGTAAAACTAAATCAGTGCAAAGTGAAATGCAGCAGCTTTCTCCACTATGAACCGTTTTTCCAGCATGAGAAGTTTCGGAACTTAAAATTAAGTGTAACAGATCATAAGACTACAAAACATTCGTCTGGAAAATAAAACGTAGCTTACATCTTCCTTGTCTAAATTAGACTACTTTGATGACAAAGTTACTCTTCGTTTCAGCTGGATCGATCCCCAATTAGCACTGGCGCGTGTTCAACTTCCCAGTATTTACAATGTGACGGGAAGTTTTTTGGTAAAGATTCTCATTTATTTTCTATTCTCAATATTTTCATCATAGTCTTTCCGGAAAAGATCTTGATAATATAACTTCAATATAGTTTGCATTCGGTCCATCAATTTGAAGGGCATTAAATTTAGTTTGAATATCGTTACACCAAACTTGGAGAAAATTCCCGGCTTTCTTAAGCAAACTCTGGCCTATTCTCTCTCTTTTCAAACCCCTCTCTCTCACCCTGGGGCGAGAGAATGAGAGAACCTGGGAACGAATTTGATTCTTGAGATTGAAGTCTGTGGTCAGGTCTTGCTGATAAGATTATTTTAGCAAAAATCATACAAATCAACTCCAGAAATTTGATTGAAATTTTTGTTCGAATGTTCTTGATTGCTTTATTACTTTTAGTGAGAAGTTGACTGACGCAGGCAACAGCTCTACACAGCTGTACCTTGTTTCAGGCAGAAACTTGCAGATTTGGGAGTGAGAAAAATTTCATGAATCAAGTGCATCATTTATTTTGATAAGAACTCATATGCATAAGTGTTTTAAGAGTTAAGCCCTCAACGTTGTTCATGTTGAGTAAGAAGGAATAGCCTTAATCCTTTACTCCCATGGGTGACCAAGACAGAATTTCACCTAAGAATATCAATACAATTTCTAACAGACAGGTGAAAGAAATATATCAATTGGGAATTATTAGTTGATCCAAAACCAAAATCTCCAATCTAGCATCAAAAACATAACTAAGTAAATTTAAGAACAAGACAACTTTATATATTTTTTTAAATTTCATTTTGACTTAACTGAAGAAAGCTAAAACTGTCGCTCTTCTCACACGAAGTAGAAATAACGGGATGTGGCAGAGAGAAAGACGGAAATTGTAATAACCAGCAGATTTGCGATTGCTGTCGCTCCCTCAAGATAGCTCTGATGACACGTCAATCAGTAGATGAGCTGAAAAAGACAGCTGATGATGTAAATTTCCGCAAAAAGAGATTATTAAAGCGAAACCTGAAACCCACGCGACTCCCTCGGTGCAGGGTCAGTTTATCGTTTGACAGCACTGGAATACAGTTTACGTAAAGATCATAGTAGAAATTCCTCGTAAAACCTTACGTGCAAGAGAGTGAGTAATCGACAATCCCTCGAGTCAGGAATTTTCGGATATATTGACTTACAACGATAGTGAAACTCAAGTATCATATTAAGCTTTCTTCAGGATTTTAATCAACAAAAACACTTAATCTTGATGTCGCTGTCCGCTCAATAGAAATGTCTGGTGACTGCGGACTCATCCTTAAGTAAATTTTGAAGAAATTAACTAGTACCTAGGCTAGTGCCCGTCTAGTACTTGTTTCACCGTATGTGTTTGGTATTCTATTAATATCCTTTATCTTACAGTCGAAGCCGGCAGAACGATGTGTCGTCCAAGAGTTACTGCAGCCTTGCTCATGTTCATTCCTTGTTTGGTTTTCTCCGCGGAGATTCCGAATATCTTACCGGGTGATGTTGCTCCTTCATTTGTTCTTCAAGCAAAGGAAGTAATTCATAGTACCGACGTACTTCTCAGATATGGAGGCAACGATTCCAACATCCAAGGACCCATTGTGTTCCTCGCGTATACCGACCGCTCAGGATTCTTAGATCGTCTTCTATCCGACCCAGATTGCTTCAAGACTCTGATGGAGAACTCCCCTGACAATACAAATTACGTGTTTCTTTTTTATGCGACTTCTTCATCTTCGATCAAAGATGCTGCTGACCAGCTCGCTCGGAGATTTAAAGAAGCAATGTATAACTACTTTTTTCGGTAAGTCCTATGTCCCTCAGAATTGCTTTTCACTCTCGCGTTAATTAACTACATTGAGATTGTTGTGACCCGAATGAGTTCCGAAATACAAAAGCAGGCTTCTTCATGATAGCGATACTAGAGTATTGTGACCCGAAAGAGTTCCGAAATACACGAGCAGGCCTCTTCACAACAGTGATACTAGCTGAGAAATTGCAACATCTTGGCCGACAAGGACCATTTTTACCTAAGGTGCAATATTTTGGAAAATTAACCCAAGTTTCGTGATCCGGAAGTCACGAATTTCACTTCCTTTCGCTAAACCCGAACGGAAATGTTTTTCACCATGAACACAATGCTGAACGACACTGATACAATCGGAAAGAGGCGCTGAAATTGAGGTTCAGGCAATCTTGATTTTCCGTTTGTTGACTTCTTTACCTCGGAGGGTCCTGACTTTTTACAACAGTGAAATAAATCCCTATAAACATGCCGGCCAAGAGTGAGGTTTATTAGATTAGTAACTCTGGGATGCACTCATGTATTCATTGAATATAGTGTTGGCCACCCTCATGAAATGAAATAAACATCTGTCACTCTTCAATTCTATTTCATTAAGAGCACTACCATCTTGGGTCCGCGGCAGCTGTGAACCTTGCTCCGGGTAAAGGATTCTTGAACACTTTTGGCAAAAAGCCACCAGCGTAGATTTGCTGTCCAAAGAAAACTGAAGCCCTTGATATATTAGTTAGTAACACAACACAAACAAAAGGAACTTGAAATAGCACGTCCCAAAAATTATCAAAGTTTACTGCTTACATTACAACTGTAAGAGCAGCTGAAACCATTTACTATAGTAATTAATAATATACACGAAAAAATTACGCGCGTCTGATTAGCTGAAAACGAGTGCATTTTTCATGTAACACAAGTGCAACTTACAAATAGCGCGCGCGCTATTTGTAAGTTGCACTTGTCGGAGTATTTTAAGGGGGATCATGTGGTTTTCAGGAGGAACAGATGTAGGATCAGTGGTAGGTAACAGAATATAAATGGGGGAAGATAGAAAATTGACTGCTATTGAAGAAGGGGGGGGGGGCATATATATTGCATAATCTTATGAGGCGATCAGGTAAATTTCATCGTGACATAACCAAAGGAAACGTGTGAATCGGAATTTACAGGCTTCATTGCTGTTGCAGATCCAGCAGGTCCCTCGAATTCTCCCGGGTGAGGAGATTCCCTACCTTGACCGCGAGAATGGGAACATTACTGGATTTCAGTAACAACTGGCTTTCGCGGGTACATATTGCGACATTTCCTGTATTTACTCTCGGAAATTGGATCCCGCGGGTGCTATCTCAGTGGTATTGTTCCGGGCACGGGTGTGGCTTTGCCCAGATCGTCATTGAAAATGATAAAGGTACTGCCATACATTTAGAGAATTAGTTTAGACACAAGAAATCAACTGTCAGAGACGGACAATCGGGCAGTTTTCCTGAATGTAAGGATTCCATCAACTTAACATTAGTCTCAGACGGAAACGGAAGTTTGTTTCTCCAGACTTTTGCACTTTAGATTCTTGCTTTAAAATAATAATACTAACACTCTTACTCTTAAAAGTCGTCTTTATCGACAAAACCAATCTCTAGGTCAGGCTTCATGCACACCTATAGGAAACATGCTTCGTTCTGCCGGAAACTGTCAGAAAGGGAAGACAGTGTATCTTAAAACTAAGACTAAGAGCTTCTTTTTCTGTTCCCTCTTCGTAAATAATTATAAATACCATTAGCTTTACTTGATCTATTTTGAATTTTCACATTACGCATTTTGTACTAAAGTTGTGTCGAATACTATTAGGAAAGGACATTATCCTGTTTTGAGTACGGTCTTATTACCTTTCTTTGTTTAAATATCAATGCTAATAACTTGTACTTTTTGACTTTAATGAAGGTGAAATCCACATGGTGTCAAAGCGTTTAGATGCACGCTATGATTGGCTGCCGTCTCCAGACACGCTCGCAAAATACGGACATTTGGAAGTGGCGTTTGTTGGAGATGCCTGCAATGCCAGCTCGTTTGTGAATCCTGTAAATGGTAAACTTGCCCTCGTTTCAATGGAGGGCGTCCAATGTTCATACTTTACAAAGGTTAGTTGCTGTTTTTTCTTCAATTTCTCGAAAGCCTTGCCTAATAAACGTTTGTCATGCTATGAGACTATTATCTAGAAAGATGTCACTCATCTGAACGCGATCGTGGAACAAAAAATAAAAAGCGCCACCGAGAAATTTAAGCGTTCGACCTTCCAATTTTGCTTTCGGATGCTTAACAAATTGTGAGCAAAGCCTTACTGTCGTTCACTTTACCCCCCAGGTACAAAACTCTGAGAAAAATGGCGCTCTTGGTGTCCTGGTGTTTCCTGAACCGAACCAGGCTTTGCTAGACATGAACTGTAACGGCTCAGAATGTAACACACAGCTCAACATCCCAGCATCCATGATTCCACATAGCATTGGGTTTAATTTGAGCAAGGGCAGTGGTATTTACGTCCGTTTCCAGACAACGCCCTCAGACACATTTGTATTTGGAATTGACGGGGAGGGCAAAGTGGAGGAAACCGGTTGGTTTTTGTATCCGTCCACGCTCTTCATGGCCTATCAGGCCCAGTGGTGAGTTTACTTTAAACTCAGTTTCTGGAGTACTGTACTTTTGTTGTTTGAGTTGTTAGTCGATGGAAGCATTTACAGAATACAGGGCCATTAAGGTCGGCACTTTGTCGGCATGCTGTGAAGAACGAGGCAGAACACAAAAGGATCAGTATTATGAATCGGTGAGGGGTAAATAAGTGGCCCAACATTCTGTAGTTTTACTGGTCGCTGTATCTCTTTGTATCACTTCCACCAAGGACATCGGATCACGTAATACGTATATGTAGTGACGACAGAACGCTGTTTACATCTGTACATTTGAAGAGATTGGAGGGTTTATAGTTATCCTTATACATCAGTGTCTCCGCCTCAATCCTGGTTGGCCACGAGTTGATTCTCGCTGGCATTGCTTTCGTTTTGTAATACATACCTGCAACAATGTTTGTCTTATTCCCCCTAGCCTCAGAGCCATGTTAGAATTTCAATATATCGAAAATGGCCTATGACGACACTGTTTTCCATTGGGACAAATAACATATTGGTTGTTGTTGTTATTGTTTTTTTTTTAGTGCAGTTCCGTTTACGTTATCGTTCTCTCCAACAGTAGTGGGAACTGACCTCCCACCTCGGTCGAGAGCGGAAACATTGTATTGAAGTTCAGTTTTTAGTAGATCAGTGTTTTAGAGAAAAAACCCTAACATGTCATTACCTTTGTTAACACAGGTTTAATTATAAAACGCAGTTGTTAAAGAACTTGACAACGGGAGATGCGATGGTAATCAACGTGTTCAACCACAGTGTGATGCAGGGAGAGAAAGGGGTTAGCGGTACTGTTCATCTGCCTTCTTTGAATGGTAAGATACAGGTATTACGATGCATTCGATTCCCTTCATTGTCCAGACAAAGGTAATACTTCCCTGAATGCCGGTAAGACGATGTGGAAAACCAATCTGCGCATAGGAAATAGCGAAATATCTCTGAAATTTCGTGAAAAATTTGATTGTGTTTAAGGACGAGATTTTAGCACAAACACTGTGATCCTAAAATCTGTTGAAATAAGGTATTCACGTGTTTCTCTTTGTTCTGTGTTCTTACTGTCTAGTAAGCTTTGAATTTGTCAGAAATTATTGTGGCAACAAATTGCCAATAACCATTATTTGCCACGCTAAGATCAAGCCCAAAACAACTTTTCTTCAGTAGTTTGGTTTGAGATCTAAATTGTTTGATATTGTATCGCTAAATAACTATTATCGATAATTGTAAAGTGTAATTAAGCACATTAAGCGTTACGTCACTACGACTAATTAACTAGTTCGTTGCTAAATGGTGAAGACGTACGGAAGGATCAATTGATTTCGAACCGTACCAATATATTGTCAACCATACAATAAAAAGGTTTGAATCACCGCATCGTACGCTCATCATTACAGATATCTCTATTTAAGTTTATTGTGAATGCGGTTTGGTTTTGTGGCAATCACAGCTGACGTTTTCACTTCTCTTTCTAAGACCTCCAGAGGTACGAACACGTGGAATTGGACTTTGCTTTATCGTGCCCAGGCTCCAGAGACGAAACTTGCGCCAGATGGGATCACGTAATACAGCTGTACGTTTGCTGTAACTCTACAAGTGAGCTATGTGGCCTGGAACTAGGCAGATGGATAACACCCTTTAGACGGTAGGAGTAGAAACCAGAGACAAGCACATTTGTTAATTTTTTTGTTGATGTCATGATAGATGACGTCTCGAAGGATGCCAGGAAAATGCTTGTTATCAAGTCAATCAGCACACTTTTGAAATAGCCGAGAAGATGGTAAAAACATTACAACTTTGATGATCATTGTCTGTTTGTTTCCACACAGACGTATTGGACGCTGGTTAACGCCAGTGAAGCCGCTGATTCCTCTGCTACAATCCGCGGACTCCGGCTCAACCAACACTTGTAACTTTACAATGAAAACAGTTCCCTGGGCAATGGCGTGGGTTCCAACACTCAACATCAGACTTGTTGGCAAAATACAAGGTATTACTCTGACTCAGCTCTACACAATGAAAAATTTCTTCTCATCAGTTTCACGGGGTGCTTATTAACTATAATAATACCTTTTTGTATCCTCTTTATAATGTTCAACTGAAGAAGATAACTGAACTCTGGTTTTTCTGTACGTTACTGCTTGACATTTTTACTCACACGTTCATTTTTATTCACAGTATTAAACAAGTATGAGACATTTCGCTCGAGAGAGAAGACTCTTGTTCCAGTAGAGGTTATACCACTCTTCAGGGGAGGAACATTTGACAAGAACTACAACACCAAATACAGACCCTTTACTTTTGCTCCTCCACAAGGAACTGACAAAGTAAAGCTTGTCGCAACCATAACAGGCCATGGCAGTGATAATAACAACTGCGCCGAGTTCTGCGTCACATCGCATCATTTTGTTGTCAACAACAAACATAACTATACCCGTGTGTTCAAAAACGCCGGCACCGCCCTAGGGTGTGCTGACCGCGTGCCAGAGGGAGTGGTACCAAATGAGCATGGCACGTGGCTGTATGGGCGGGACGGTTGGTGTGATGGCCAGGAGGTAGTACCCTGGGTCGTGGATATAACAAGTGCACTTACAACTCCTGAAAATCAGATCAAGTACTTTGGTTGGTTTAACAATACTGATCCCAATCCAACACGTGACCCTGGTGATATCATCATGTACTCTTATTTAGTGTACTACAAGTACTTAGCCCCGGAGCCGGACCTCCCTCGGCCAACCACACGAGTAGGATCTGGATACGACATAAACAAATAGTTTGACCTTTGAATGACATTCGAGCCGCATACTCTGATACATGTTACGGCTGGTAATATTTTCACTCGTAACAAAATGCGAAATAAAAATTTCAAAAGAAGGCGGGGACCGGCAGCCCCTCAACTCCGAAGATTGTTCTATTCTGATCCATTTACCCGGCAATTTGGCTATTAATATACATGGCTGTAGAGGACGAATAGCCTTGCAGCGAAGCGACAAGGGCCGAGAGAAGTGTTTGCATAGCCTTCTGAAAAATTCTTTGTTCTCATTGGCTAAATCGAGCGTATTCAAGGCCCCTAGTACGGAATATTTGCGTGTAGATGACTTCTCTCCTCCTTTATGGCAATATTAGGGTCTTTTCGCAAACCACGACGACGACGGTAACGAGGACCTTGTAAAACAAAATATCTAATGATCAAAACAATAGCTTAGCATGTGCATTTCAATCCTCTGCAAAACAACTACGTGAAATCACCAAAATTTGCGTAGCCTGAGAGCGGAAACCCGAGGGTAAATCATTAGTCTCCATTTTGAACTCAACGCCGCTCACATTTGTTATGCTGAATTAAAGGTGTAGCGCTGTAAGAGACGGTAAACACGTGCAACCATTTGCAAAATTCTGACTTAAAATTTAACATTTTTTTTTTCTTTTGATGTCTACCTCAGCGTTGCCGTCCTGGCTGCTTAATATCCCTAATTTTTTTGTCTCACGTTTGTAAATAAGAACCATAATGAACTCAAAATGTGCCATATTCCTATGTCTATTTTACTAATTTCGTCCACAATTTTTGTACCTTGGTGAACATTGAAGAAAGCAGTGTTTCCTTGCCAGCTTTACTGTTAATTATAATGGTTGCAAAATCTGTTTCGGTTTGAAATAAGTGATTTCACAAAATACAGACCGAATTAGACCATACTAAGTCTTGTCACCAGTTATTTTTGACCGATGAATATTCTGAGTGCAACAGACATATGTATTAAAAGAACAGCTCGTAGTTCCAATTTCTCTAATCCAGTTAAGGCATTTTCTGACGCTGAGAATTCCTCCATTTCGGAAAAATCTACAATTTATCATGGTAAGTTGTTGTTGCTTTGGTTACTGTAATGAATGCATGATTGGTGACTTTGCATTCGAGTTTGCATAAATGATTGGCTATGCAACTGTCAAGATACAGCAAACTGTCTATCTAAACTTCCGATGAGACTCTTCCTTAACAACTCTATAGAATAATAAGTGAAAAATAAAGCAATTCATCATCTGCATGTTAAACAAAACAATAACGGCTATATTAAAAGAGTAATGATTATAACTAGTACTTTAGTTGTATTTCTAGTGAACTATGGCAAAGGAAAACTCCTAAACTCAGACCAATTGCACGTTAAATACTATCGTAGACCTCAAGTGACCGCTCCATCCTTTTTGTGATAAAAGTCTATTGGATTTTTCTAAAGACTTCCTTGCAAAAATGGAAAAAACTCTTGCGCATGATTTTACACTTTGAAAGAGGACTCTTCAAAGAAACTTCTTCAGCTCCACCGTACATTTAGTAGGGTATGTTACCAGTTAGATATTTGTGCTAGTAAACTACACTGTGTGTTTCACGAAAAGTGTTTTTTTAACTTTACTGATTTACTCTCCATCATCCTCAGGAATAACGTCACTTTCTTGTTTTAAAGGATCATCTCTGTTGATTCTGGCCAGCTCGCTCTGCGCTACATTACTCAAAACCGCAGGTGAGGATTGAAATCTCGCGCGGCGTGCGATCTTTTCATTACAGTCTGGCCTTTCAATCTTTGGCAAAGCTAAACTCTTCCGGTGCTTCAATGGAGGAGGAAATTCCTTACTCCTTTCCTGTCTGTATGGCAAAGGCCATACGACAAGGCCTTGGTCAGTGCTTTCTAACGGCGGCAAACGTTTTAATTCAAGGAAACTCATGGGTGACCTTGAAGCTGCACCTTCAGAGTGTCGTCGTTGATACAACTTGTAATCTCGCTTTGTTGCGTTTGCAAGCATGTCTCCTTTATCAGCGACATGTGTTTGAACTGCAGTTTTAACACTTAGCCTTGTTTCCGTTGTGTTTTTACCGGGATCGATGGCTTTAAGTTCTCGTCGCAGCGAGACAAGATTTCGCTGAATATTTTTCATTTCTCGTTGCTCTTCTTTCGCCAAGTTTCCCAGCCGGCGTCCGAGCCGTTCTTTCTCTCGTTCGTTCTTTAGTTTGGCCTCGACAACATTTTTTATTATTTTACGGCGCAAAGCTTGTGCTTTTTCGTCGTTCTCCTCATCTTCAGCGACAATCATGGCTTCAAATTTTTTACGATGCAATAAATTTAAAACTACTGAGTCGACAAGCAATACTTGGTGCCGTGACCGCACATCACTTCAGTTTGCATTGCTTCATTCTTAAAACGTAACAACAGAAACTTCTAAAAGCGTAAATCATTCATCTTGTTTTTGAGAGTAAATTAATAATTGATTTGTTGCCCCTGGCGAAGTTTTGTTTAATCAACAATGCTTCAGAAACACAATTATTAGCGGGTTGTTATCGACAAAACACTTTTGAAAGCATTTTCACAAGGACCTCATCTAAATGAGAAAGCAATCGGTACGTGCCCGTTTTCCTTACTGTCCTACAACAACGTTGCCAGTCGGATACAGTTTGATAGAAAGTTCTTAAACAGGAGCGAATTTCACAGCAAATACGATCGGCAGGTGTTTCGCAGTTTTCACAATACAATCTGTTTAGCCAATGAGACTTTTTCACACGTTCAAAGGCTGTTTTTGTTTTAATTAAATAGACCATCTTCAGCTACCGGGCCGAGAACTTAGGCGAAGCTAATTGGATCTAATTGCTAAACGTCCCGCGAAAAAAAAGAAAACCAAACTCGTATAAAAATTTACTTTCATGTTTTGACTCGTCTCGTTCGAGTTCTATTTTTTTTATCTGAACTGCAAAAGAACGATATTTTATTCAGATAAAAAATAGCATACCTTGATGTTAATTACGACCTTCTTCGTTTCAAATTTGGATGTCTTTCTTTTAAGGAGGCTTTTAAGTAAGAGAGTCTCAATGGGATGATTACTCTTACGGTTAACGCTGAAAATTTTGGCCCTCTTACAGCCAACGGTTATTCATTTCCGTTAATTTTTGAAGAGGAATTATAACGGTTAATTTTTTTTAACTAATAACAGTTAAATTGTCAAGTTTTTACGCCCAACGACTAGAATTTTGAGCCGTTTTACGGCTGACGATTAAACCTATTGAGACCCTCCGGTAAGCCTCGATTTACGTAGCACGTACAGACTCAGTTTTCATGGCCCACATCCAATAGGGAAGGGGGACTAGGAATGACTTACAGGCTCCCCATCCAGGACTTCCAAACGGGGTGGGGTATATTTAATAGCGGTTATGTTAGAAGGCATATCAAAACCTGGCTGAGATCCAGAATATGATTCGTTATGTGTCAACTGCATAGTAGCTCATATAAAATGAACACCGCACACAGTATGAGTTTCCTTAGTTGAAGACCTACAATGTTTAAACAGGAAACTACTTGATATAGGCTTCCAATTATGGTTAAAATTTGTACTGAAACTCTATCTGGCTCATATGAATAGCAACGCCTTTAGAACTCTGAGAGTAAGGGGGGGGGGAGGGGTTTTAGCAAGGAGGGAAAGAGGGAGAGAACGTTTACAGTTGATATCAGGGGCGAATCATCTCTTTAAATTTTTTTGTTCAACGCTGTTCTGCTATTCTGAACAAGTCACTTCTGAAGGTATTGCAAAGTATGTAAACACCTGCGCTTCGCAGTTCGTAAGATTTGACCTCATTTTATTCCATGTTCGTCATTTAAAATCTACGGCAATATTGTGCATTATAAACCTTCCTTACGTTCTTTTGTGTTAGCCTTGTCTCTTTAATGATTCTCTACCTTTCGCTTATTTTCAATGCAACTAAAATCATCAAAATGACCCTAAAGTTTACGACGCAGATCCTCCGTTTTGAAACGAAAAATTGAGAAATCAAGGGCACGATGATTTGGAGAATGCAAATTATTTTACGTGTAATTGGACTAAGGAGATAAATTACCCGTTAGATGTTTCGTAAGTGGGCATTGAGACGTGGGGAAGGGAGGGAGGAGGAAGGGGGGGAGGAGGAAGGGGGGGAGGAGGAAGGGGGGGAGGAGGAAGGGGGGGAGGAGGAAGGGGGGAGGAGGAAGGGGGGGAGGAGGAAAGGGGCTCGAAAGCGAAAACACAGCTTAGGGGAGAGCTCTTGCGTTCTACACTATTATTCGCGCGCTTGCTTTATAATATGGAAAAAAAGGAGAGGGAGAGACAGAGTGGGTGTGTGTCAACCAATCTTTTTGTTCTCATCAGCACTCTCTGTAGAACGCATTCCTGAGGTAAAAAAGACTAGATTTTCAACAAATACAATGTATTGATTTCTTTATCTGCTTCTTACGTTGAGTTATTTTCAGCAAGACTGATTTCAACTGTATCGTGTTGTTAAAAACAGACATCAGTGGATGACCATTATTATGAGCTACCCGGCGACTACAATACAGTTTGGGTCGAACCCAAATCAGAATCTTTCGTTTCAGACGTCCCTTGTAGATGCATCATCTCATGTTGACAACACCGACCCAGACCCAGTCCTAATGATTACATCTACAAACAATAACTCCGGCGAAAATCACAGCTACTCGGTTGATAAAAATTTACGATCGTTACACAATGTGTACATCTACAGATTATTATCACACAATAATGACTACATTCAGTAAAACTTTGATCTTAGATCAGCTATTTCGCCTTCCATCGCTTAAAGGCTCTGTAACATGTTCTGCAGTTTGTTTCATGGGAAGAACCAGCAAAACAAAATCTCAAATCTTGCACTCAGCCCGTTGTGAACGGTAAATAATATGTTTTAGACTGTACCCTCAGCTGTGCTAACTGTTATATGATAAATGCACTGTGGGCAAAGAAAAGTCTTCAAACGATGTGTGCGGGAGATAAGTTCAACTACATGGCACAAAAACCTGGTCCTTTGTGCAAGATGTTCGTTGTACAAACTGTAGAGTTGGCAAAATCATGGAAAACTGATTCCTCAAGGCGAACCAAATGAACGTAAAAAATTATTGAGATTTGCCAACATAATCTGAAATCAGAGTTATTTTTTTCAAGAAGTTACCGACCAAAATGTGCGAATACCAATTTTCCATTAGCTTCTCTGAAAGACCAATCGAGCAAACGAACAAACTATTTATTTACAATAATTTCAAATCATCAAAAATAGTTTAAAGTGCATATAATACCCCATTCACACCAAAGCTTAGACATGTTTTAGAGCTCTTTGTTAAACACGGATCAAAATTGTATTCTACGAAGAAGCTGTTTAGACCGATGTTTGTCGACTTCAAATTTAGCACATTGAAAATACAATTAAGTGACTACTTGAAACCTATGGAAAACTCAGTTTTTCAGTTCTCTGTTTTTCATTCGGTTAAACCCGGTTTAAGTAAACAAGTTTTGCTGATGTAAATGGGATGTAAGTTTGTTGGTACAGTTTCCGCCATCCTAATCTATTCATATACACAGAAAGTTTCGGAAGTGAGGTTAGTTTGGAGACATAAGTCGTAAAAAAAAAACAGCCAAATTTCACGCTAAATTTTAGAAATACATGGATTATCTAGTTTCACATGTCATAACTAGTAAGTAAATCTGAGCAAATAAATCTATGGTTTGGGAAACATCGTAAAAGTTAAAGAAAGATATTATTATTCTTGTCACGAGTGTGGTACGAAGAAAAAAAATCTGAGTTTGCAATGAGAAATCAAACCCATGACCTTTTGGTTCCGCGCTCCGATGCTCTACCTCTGAACCAAACTGGAAAACTCAATGGTAAGCCAGGTGATTACAAAGTTCATGCGAAAGAAAATTTACAGTAAAAAACTACAGTACTGACATCTGTTGGTTGATTGATCTCAGTTTTATAAAGGAGCAGTTTTACAATTGATGTCGAAAAACCAAAACTGAAGTAATCCCAGCGACTATCGATTACATCATCAGGAGCCAATGAAAAGTCAAAGTGAAAGCAAGCAAACTGCTTGAAGCGTAGTTTGTAGTTTTGGATCTGATTGGTTGAGAGGACCGCGCAAGTTTTCTTGGCCAATCACAGAGCAAAGTTAAGTAAAACCAAAAAATCCAGGATTCCTTTCGACACCCAATTGAAAACTGCTCCAATTGGGCATTTGTGAGATACCATGAGATACCATGAGAAAACTGCCATGGGGAAGAAAAATAACAGCTGCTAAAGAGTAAAAATTCATTCGGTCAACTTAACAACATCACAATGAAAAAAAAATCAATTAATCAATCAAATTCACAGCACATCGACCCCATTAGTTGCACCATTGTGTATTACCGCTGTACAGCATGCACGACGTTGTAATTGTACAGCACCGGCAAGGACTTCTCTCGTGTTGCTGGTGCTCAAGCCCCAAGAAGGGTTCTCGGTAAGTTCGAGGAGGTGGATTGGGGAAGACAAGCAGTGGTGATGGCGACATGACAGGCTCCGGGTGGGTGCCGTTTGCCATCTTGAGTTCTTTGCGCCATTTAAACCGTCTGTTCTTGAACCAGGTCTGAAGGGATCCGGGAAAAAATAAAAATTGAGTGAAAAGAAGATATTATCCAGCGATTTGAAAGAGCTGACGAAGGTTACTTAGAGGTAGTAGGTATGATCTTCAAACTGAGTTAGGCCACAGAAAATGGATGTTTTAAAAGTCACCTTGCCTTACATTCTAATCAACTAACTCAGATTTTACCTAAGGCAAATTGAAGAATGTATGGGAGTCTATTTACCTGTACAGTAACGGGAGAAAGTCCAAGTTTGAAAGCCAAGTTATCACGCTCTACACCCGTCAAATACAAAGATGAAAGGAAAGAATTCTCAAGGGCAACTTTCTGATAGATTGAGAATCGTGTCCGTTCAATCTTTCGCTTGTGAGCATTGGCAGTAGGCACAGGGTCATCAGAACTCTTTTGGAAATCTCCTGAAAAAGATAACATTAAGCGACTGTTAGCTTTAATTCTCCAGATTTAAATGATTTAACCGGCTCTATCGGCTTCTGAGTTACGAGATGTTTGATCTTCCTAATCGAAGGAGAAAGAGACGAACCATTGTGTTTCATTTCAACCCCTAATTTTTATCAACGCATGTTTGTCTCGTATCCTTCTGATTGATCATTCAAAGACACCAACCTATTTCTTGTTAAATAAAAAGGACTTTGCGTTGAAGGAATCTAGTCGATTATTTGATATAAACCATCCACCTGGCCGTAGTGAGACAGAGGTAGCCGTCTTCTGTCTCGTATCCTTCTCATTTACCATTGAAAAACCAGCAATTGCATGTTTTTCAAAGGGTAATTTTGCGTCCACAAAATTGAGAAACCTATTCGACAATAACGAGATAATGGTGGCCGTATTTTTTTCCTCACAACAAATAGGGAAACAGAGCAAGCGAGTAAGCCTTAAGCAGAGCTCTTATTTTTGAGTAACTCCCTTTCAACTCGTTGGGCGGCTTTCTTGTTTCATATGAATAAGTTTTTTGAGCTGATCTTCCTTGCATGCGAAAAACATCCCAGCCGTGAAAATTAAAGTCAATATACTTCTAAGTTTAAGGCCACTGTTAAAAAAATGATCTAAGCCAGTCAAACTTATCCTAACGAACGTTTCTGTATCAAGATATCGCCTTGTTTTTTTCCGTTTCTGAGGAAAATCGCGGTCTAACCAATTCATTGTGTAATCAAAGAGCATCACGACTAGTCAAAATCTTCACCTCACGTACCTTCTAGTGGAAATGTACTCGACGCACTTTCAGACATCGGTTTTTTATCACAGGAAGAAAGCGATTTTTGGGCGAAGAAACGGTGCATGTCAAACTGTTTAGTCTCCATGGCTCTTGTGTTCTGGCCTTACCAACACCTCCGCCAAATCTGATGATGGTTGTGTTCGCTCTAATATAAACTAGAGAAGGATATCGTCTCCCATTCGCTGAGCGGGTCACTGACGTCACAAATTTGAGAATGTTTATATTTTCATGTTAAGTCTTCTGCTAATTACGTTATAAATTAACCGACCAATCACGTGCTATCGCTTTATTGAACGTGTTCTCTGAACTCCCAAAGGAATAATGTGAACGTAACAAGAAAGAAAGAATTACGAAGGATGAACGCTCGAAACGTCAGCTTTAAAACTTAATTTACGTTATCAACTCAGTTCATTATACTTAATTACTCTGTTTTACTCTTCCACCGACGCAGCACCACAGTTTCTTTAAAAAACTTACCCCCTCTAACATGAAAGAAAGCCGACACTTGAATGCCCTGTTTTTAACATCGATGCTCTCTGGTTATTCGTCACTTTCGAAAATTTAAATCCTCTGGGAAGTAGGATGGGAATGATTAGATGGATAATCTCCCCCTTAAAAATAAACTGTAGTTATCAACCCTTCGGGATTTTCATTTTCAATCGATATGTTGCTGTTAATCGAAGTGCCACCTGCAAACTCGTGAATTTCCTGTGCATGTTATAATAGGAATATAACCACAAATGTACTAGAACTCGATGATTTTGTGATTCCAAGGAAAACAATTGAGCCGTCATCCCCACAAGAGCCCTCCCTTTATAATTCCGCCATCTTTATTTTGATACATGCTCTCCCCAAATTCCCGTGCGAACGCCTTGACGAAGTCCAATATTTCCTATGCATAAGCTTAGCAAATCCACGAATAAAGACGAAACACTTTTGTGCGCAATTTAAGAACTTTCTTCATCACAAATACGTTGCTGCAAAGAAGCATATACCTGTAGCCGTAAAGACAAGTTTGTGTGATCCACGGTATTGACGTACGCAAGGAACAAAAGTGGACTTTAATGTGACCTAATGTGTTTCCAGTGTCATAAGTTAGCGACCTTCTGCTTTCTTTTCTTCTCAGATCGATAAACTCTATTTTCAAACAATTGTAACCTCAAGATCATTTCCAATATATTAACTACTTACAAAACGAACTGCGGCTGGAGCAAGCAAGGTCAATAAGTTGTTTATTACACGGCACTCACACAAAACTTGTTCAGTTTGAATTTGCCAGCTTTCTGACCTTCTCCGTGAAAACCGTCCGTATGGCAGGATACGGACCAAGTGGGAACCAATCAGAACGCTTGGATTTACCTCAGGACTACCCTGCCATTTAATATTACTGTACTCTTCTGCCTATAAATTCCATGAAACTGTGTAGCTTTTTTGCGTAATGTTAGTGATTCTCGGATTAGAAGATTTTGCCATGTATAATAACACATGATACAAAATGTTTTTTTCTTAATTTTTTAGCTTAACCAAACTCTAAAACTGTGAATGTCTTAATTTTTCAGTAAGGAAAAGATCACAACTTTGAAGGTGGAATACTATCATCTTTCCAAGTGTATTCTGGCAGAGAACACTCATCTGCAACAAAAACAACAAAAAGTATGAGGGTAATTCCTTCAATAACCCTCCCACCCTGATCCCGAAGATAAATTGGGAAAAAGAAGGGGGTGTGGCTATTGCATTAAATTGAGGGTGGAGGTTTAATGTTACTAAATTTTGCCCAATACATTACATCTTTCTTTTGACAGCAGCACCACAAGAGTATCCACGAAGGAACATTTTTTGCATTGTTCTACTGACAATCATAATGATTGATTTAGGACTTGTAACAGGAGCTAAAAGATTGGAAAAATTCCATATCCATGTGGAAATCTCTTAATAAGTTTAAAGGTCTGTAAATTTGAACAGCTGCATCAACTATAATCAACAGTTGTTGTTTTGATATTTGCCCAGTATTTTTAAACAGACAAACAAATAAACAAAACAAGAAAAAGCAGAAAGACAAAGGACTGGACAGGAGGAGTGTATCAATACTCGGGGGGGGGGGAAGAAACTTGTTTTTTCTAAGGCAGATATGTTAGTATGACCCATAAATAATGTACCACAGCACAGCACAGCACAGCACGGTACTACTACTACCTACTACTACCTTGAATAGGTGCCTGGGTGCTTATTTAAAATTTTGGCTAAAAGGGAGGGTGCTTAATTAATATTATCCAGCAATGATTCCTCCATATAAAAAGTTTGAAAAGTTATAAATAAAGTGGTAATAGAAACAGGTTTCCTTGTATCCCTACTAATTAAGAAAGTGAGAAGGGGGTCACTTATTTGAGGGGAGTGCTCATATGACATTGTGGTCTAGGCCCAGGGTGTGGGCACCTATTAGGGGGAAGGCTCTTATCTGAGAGTGGATGCTTATTCAAGGAAATAGGGCTCATGAAACCATTCCATTGAGCAATTGCCTCACCTGCTGTTGGTATATTACTAACAAACACTTTACTTGATGCACCATCCACATCAATTGTAGTTCCTGTTATGTAAGCTGCTGCTGGGGAGAGGAGAAAGCTGACAGCTCCGGCTACCTGAATAACAACAGAGAGTTCTGCTCATATGCACAATGTAGCCATATACAGTAAGACTTTAACCATGTTTTATTTAGCAAAGATACATAGCATCTCAAGCTACACTCTGAGCCCTTATCACTAAGATTGAAATAAATTGGATAAGCTTTCTAATTATATCCACATGATGCTTTTGACATTGCTTGTCCTAAATGTATGCAGGAGTGGGGTCACATATCAACCTAGTAATGGCCTTTAGCTTACTATGTAGTCTTTGTGGATTGTGGGAGAGCATTGCAACTTGGAATCCAGAAGTCTAAGGCTTGATTCTGGACTCAAAATGTTTTAATTGTCCCATGCTTGTGACAAAATAAAGTTGAACCTGTACTGAGTGGCATTATATTAAGTGGTCACCCTGTATTAAGCAATTAGTTGTCAAAGTTCCAAATTTTTTTCCCCTCTATTCAGCAGTCTCCTCTATGAGTAACTCTGTGCGAGTTCTTTTTCAGAGGGATAACTGCCCAAAACCAATTAGAAGGGAAAAAAGAGTACCATTGCTCTTACTTCTGCTGTGGTTCCACATCTTTTGGCTGGTAACATATTGGCCATCCTTTGAAACAGCTCAGGGTCAGGGTAGTTCTGTGCAGCAGTGTCAGAGTACACCACACCCTAGAGAAATAAAATGCTAATTCATGCTGTAAATACATGTACCTCTTGCCAGTACAGTGTATCTCTTGTGCATCCTTTTGTTCACCATACCAACAGTAAACACAATTAGCAAGAAAAAACACCAGGATATAGCTTAATTTTGGAGAGTGGATAGGTCATTCTTAGCAGGATCAGCACTCTTTCATGAACGTTTGTATCCTAAGTCTTACTCCCCATTACCACTATTTTGTCAGATTGACAGAGATCAAACTGAACGTAACACATTTACCCTTTGATGAACAGTCCAAAAATAATACAGAATTGTCACTATGATAAGCTGCAACCCTGCTGATTGCAAAGGGAAAGCTAAGTGCTCTTTATTTTTGATATTGTTTTCAAAGTGACATGAGCTTGACTGCATGTATAAAAATGTTTGTTCTGTAGGTAAGGCAGATCAATACTAACATACTGGTGCCACACAGTTGATCCTAACTCCAAAACGTATCCATTCAACAGCTAGGCTCATGGTCAAGTTGTGAACTCCTGCTCGAGCTGCACCACTATGTCTAAATTAAATATAGTAATGACAATACAGAAAAGCGAGTCAGTAGACTGACCTCTCTTCTTTGACACAAAAAGTTGCTTTTTTTTAAGTGCTTTGTTTTTGTAAATCAATTCTTATCAATTCTCGATTGTAAAAAGTGCAACTTATGTGTAAATTTGCTGAAATACAGCTATTTAAAATTACTAAAGAAACATTTACACTTGGAGACAAGCACTGTTCATACAGGAAGAAAACAAAAAAATCACAACTTACGCCATTCCTGGGAAACCCTTGCTCATGTCCACAATGATGTTTACAATTGAACCACCATTTTTGCACATCCACAATCTGAATGCTAAACACAGACACATTCTCAGTTATTTCATAACAACTACACAGTTAACATAGAGCACTTGTTGCAAATTTGACTCATACTGAGGAAAGGCAAAGTCCTATACAAGAAAAGGTGCAATTATTTCTAGATGAATTGTGATCCTTTCCTAACATTTAAGGTTATCATAGTAATACCATAGCCTCCTAGAACATCCCTACTTTCAGCTCTACCTATCTCTGTTTCAATAATAATTGTTCTATGCTAAAGGAATTTCTTATTAGGCTTTTCGATGGTTAGGCTTCAAACTTATTTTTATAGAACTCTCTGTGGCTTACTGCAAAATGGTTTCCCTCAGAAAACTATACCAATGGTTCATTGAAGACAGTGTTTACCTTCTTTACAGCACAGAAATGTCCCATTCAAGTTCGTGTCAACCACAGCTTTCCAACCCTTTAAAGACATGTTTGCCACAGGTGACATAAACTGACCACCCCCATTGTTGACAAGGAAGTCGATTTTACCATAGGAAGAGAGGGTTTCCTCCATCAAGTTTGTTACCTAAAATATTACAGTTTACATTTGTTTTCAATATTGTCAAAGACAGTATACACTAGCATGTAAACCACAATCAAAGATAAGTCAAACCCTGAGTTTGTAAACTCACATTTTGGAAAAAGAGTTTTTGAAAAGAACTCTAAAGAAATAGCAAAATGAGTCTTGAGAAAGTTGCCTCACATTGGTTGCTTAATCAAACTTGCACCCATGTAACCTCAGTTACAAATAAAACAGAGAATAATTGGAATCAATTTCTGATAATTTTGGCTGTAATTGTATGGATGTCAAATCAACTGTTTAAGACTTATGTTTGATTTTACTCTCACTGGTATTGTTCAACCAATATCATATTTTCTAATACAAAATGACAAAAATCATTTTAACTTTCACTGAAGTGTTGCAGGACAGTTCCACAGAAAGATTTCATGTAACATGGATCCAAATTTTAACAGATGCAAAGACTGTGTCAGATTAGATGAAAAGGATGTGTGCCACTTGAACTATCAACGTACTAATTAGGGTATGAAGAGAGTAAAGAGAAAAGCCTGCTCCTGAGTCCAGTGGCTCACACTGGTCTGAAGTGTACTGACATCTAAATTATTCTCATTGGAGAAAAAAAATAGAGTTGGGTAGAAAGGATTATGAACTTTTTATAACAAATTTTGAACGAAATGATCTTTGGAGCTAGACATGTGCAGCAAACATCAATTGAGAAAACGCCTCCCTTGGCCTCTCCAGATAGAACAGGTGGGGAGGCTGTGATAACACCAATTCTTGCATTGGAACCTCACGGCAGAATGTACAGCGCTGTACATGCAGAGAAAGGCATATCCTCCCCGAAAATCCCGGAAACAATATTATCTTAGTAATATTTCAATAACTCGGCCGTTGGAAACAAAGAACTGGTAGTTACCTGTTTTTCGTCTCTAATATTGCAAGGAACTACTTTCACCTCTCCAGTACTCGACGGTTGTACATAGCGACACAATTCCTCAGCCGTTCTTTTCAGTCTTTCCTCATTTCTAGAGGCAATAACAACCTTACTGCCAAGGTAGAGTAATTCTCTCGCAATTGCCTTTCCAATACCCGTACCACCGCCAGTGACAATTGCTACTTTGCCCTCAAATAACCCTGGCCGGAAGACAGACATCATGCTCCACCTATGGGTTGCGAACTGCGTGTTTCGCGCGAGTCGTGGCGAAGGTAAAGGTTGCGCATGATCAAAGTATTTCCAAAAAGTTGCTGTAATACTGCGGGCACTAATTTTAATAGAGCCTCCAGCTCTTACTGGCCAGCGGAATTTATTTTCAAGAAAGACGTGTTCTTTAAAATTTTTTGAAAATGCAGGTATGTAAACTCGTGTTTTTCTGTAGAATGTGTCAAATTTGCTTAAGAATGATCTCTTGTTATATGTTCCCCATGCAAGAAACAAGATGACTCAACAGGGAATACGAGAGAGGCGGAACTGCTCCCAATCGACATCTATTACAACAAACTTTTGGGTAAGGATTTAGAGCCGATAACAAACCGAAATTATGTTATGCTATGGCTATAAATAAACTCTTGGAAATAATCATGAAAAATGGGCCTTCAAATTTAAGTCAATAAAGGAAATTTAGAATTTGACTACACATCATGAGGAGTAGAATGAGTTGAGATTGCCGAGGTTGGCATGGAAATCCCCAACGTAAATGGTGGACGGATTAATTGAAACGTAAACCATTGATTCTTCAAGGAGTTTGATTTATTACATAGCTTTCGAAAGGTTTAGTTTATGTCTTTGTGTTCATCCTGATTCAAATTTAATCACTCTTTTTCTGGATTAGAGACGAAACAGCAAGGATAAACAACAACAACATCAACACTACCTTGTACTTTTACATTAATAACTGTAGATCCCAAGCTGGTGGCTCTTCCAAATTCAGATTTGTCCTTTCAAGAGAACAATTGTATCCTCTATACATATGAATCAAAGGTTCTTGTTTGAAAATTTTTATTTACCTCTGATTGCACTTCTATCTTGTTGAAAAAATATACAGACTGGCTTTTGGATAGAAGACACTGTGATGTGAAATGGCAGACAGGTGTTTTGGAGGTTAGAGAGAAAATTAATGCAGCCATTCAGGATATGCCGCCTGTGGATGAAATCACACAGCTTCTTTCTGGAACATGTGAGTCATTCTTAGACATGTTTTAGACATTTCATTAATCCCTAACGGTGATAAGCTTCTAATTTCTCCAAACAGTATCACCCCTGAATCAAACATTAAGGTCATGAGAGTAAAGAAAATGATCATGATCACAAATTCTCTTTAAAAGTACCATAGGAAAAGTATAGAGAATAGTATGGAGAACTTGCATACTGATGTTAGGGTGTGAAGGGTCACAGTGGACTCATTTGATTACATAGTTCATTGCTAGAACGTGATTAAAATACATGTCCTTAAAAACTTATAAAACTGCAAAAACTTATTTATGCATTCAGTTTGTGTTTATTTTTGCTATAAAATTATTATGATGTTAGTTATGAAAATTTGGTATTGGATGAATGGATAATCTCCTAATTGATAATTTCATTGATTCTCATTACTTTTCGACTTGATGCTGTATAGCTCTTGCAAGGAGAAATTCTGTCTTGATCACTTGTGAGAGTAAAAGGGTTAACAGTATTAGAAGCTTGTATTCTTGTTACAGTTATTGTTAACCTAAATTATTTTTAAACCTTAAGTCAGGTTGAGAATATTTGTATGTATACTAATTATTTCATTTTAACTTTTACAGACATCAACTACTTTCACTGTATCAGAATTGTAGAATTACTAAAGATATCAGAATCAGCAACGAAAAACATTTTTGGTGGTTATTCATCAAAGAGGATGAAGGTGAGTAACTTGGATGCAGCATTAAACTGTGGTGACACATACATGCTACTGCTGTGACTGGATGGAATGGCTCACCAATTTTTCATTCTTTTTTCCATCCTGAACAACTTGAAAGTTCTGCCTCTTCATTGAAGGGTCATATCTTTTTTCTGTTTTCATCCAGTTATTAAGAGGAAATGCTACTGAATACAGTTGAACCTGTGTAAAGTGGCTCCATCTTATGTGGTCACCCTGGTTTAAGTGGTCAGTTTTCAAAGTCAGGAACTTTTTTTCCTCTTTAACTCCCATAAGTGACCAAGACTGAATTTCTCCTAACAATTTTGAAACAACATTAAGTAGACAAGTGATGAGAATTAAGAAAAATATCAATTAGGGAATTATCAGTTGATCCAATAACAAATTCTCCAAAACAACATCATTAGAATTGTATGGCAGACAGTAAGGAGAATTGCTAATGAGATCTTGGGAGTCAAAAGATTAAGTATTGTACAGTTATTTAATTACCTCTATTATCCACCTCTCTATCAAGATGGGAAGTACACCTGCGTCTGAATTACCGGTAATGTTGCTATGTTGTCAAAATGACACAACAGACAGATTTGTAGAAGTTTTACAATGAAAGTAAAGTTTAAACATTTATTAACTTATATATGGCATCAGGAATCAAAGAAAAGTGTAGGATGACATTAATTTATTTTCTTATAACAGGACTGGCAGGAAATTGTGAAGCTATATGAAAAAAATAACATCAACCTAGGTACAGTATTTTTCAATTATTGGGCTGTTCATTTGTTGGAGCTTGATACTAACAACTGCTAAATATCTTAAACACACCTTTCACCATTTCCTCTAGTTGTTGTAAAAATGTGTTACTACAGTATTTTCTCAATCACTGAATCACAATGTATGAGTTAACTCAGACATTAGTTGGGTAATTCACCATATCTTGCTCAACCTCATCCAATAATTGCTTATTGTTTGCCAAAGACAATGTTTTACAAATGACATAAAAAATGAAAACACTCAAGTCCGAAATTGTTGGTATGGAAGAATGACTATGTAGTCATGTAATTTAATGATCTGTTCAGTTATAAAGAAGTTGATGGAGGTTTGACATTATGTTAAGCCATAATTTTATCTCATATACATGTTATATTGGCTTGATTTGGTCTTAATTCAATCACTAGCATGTAAAATGCTATTGCACAGTTTTTAGCCTACTATTCTTTAGTTATTAGCTAGTGAAATAGCTAATTAAAAAAACAAGTGAAAAAACTAATTACTGTACCTAAATAGCCACTTACATGACTTGTAAACCTGATAAACTAATAATAGAGATACTTGAATGAAAGTGATCCTCGCAGTGATGTGCACTACTTAGGCAGTAGTGAAAATAAGGCCTGAAAAAAAAAATCCGAGTCATAAGTTCAAATCCCCTACAGGCCTGAATTTTTTTAGGCCTTATTTTCACATACTGCCTAAGTAGTGCGCATCACTGCGAGGATCACTTTCATTCATGTCTTTATCCGCAGTTCAAATATATGACTTTCATATATTCTTAACCGCATATTCATCACTTCACTGGTTTATTTAGAACCAGTATCATGACCAGCTCCCAGTTGGCTTGTTAGCTCAGTTGGTAGAGCGCTGCACCCGTTTTGTAGAGGTTATGGGTTCAAATAAATACAGGCCTGAAATTTTTTTTATTAGGCCTTATTTTCACTACTGCCTAAGTAGTGCACATCACTGTGAGGATCACTTTCATTCATGTCTTTATCCGATAGTTCAAATATATGACTTTCAATATTCTTAACCGCATATTCATCACTTCACTGGTTTATTTAGAACCAGTATCATGACCAGCTCCCAGTTGGCTTGTTAGCTCAGTTGGTAGAGCACTGTACCAGTATCGCCGAAGTCATAGGTTCAAATCCCGTACAGGCCTGAATTTGTCTATTTTTTAGGCCTTATTTTCACTACTGCCTAAGTAGTGCACATCACTGCGAGGATCACTTTCATTCATGTCTTTATCCGCAGTTCAAATATATGACTTTCATATATTCTTAACCGCATATTCATCACTTCACGGCTTTATTTAGAACCACTATCATGACCAGCTCCCAGTTGGCTTGTTAGCTCAGTTGGTAGAGCGCTGCAGCGGTATCGCAGAGGTCATGGGTTCAAATCCCGTACAGGCCTGCAATTTTTTTTTCAGGCCTTATTTTCACTACTGCCTAAGTAGTACACATCACTGCGAGGATCACTTTCATTCATGTCTTTATCCGCAGTTCAAATATATGACTTTCATATATTCTTAACCTCAAATAGAGATACTATTATACAATAATAGAGATTTCAAAAATTAGTTTCCTTTAAGATGATCAGATATTGCTGTTAGTGGCTAATGTAAAGAAGTGCAATGCCATGTAAAATCAGAAGCAGTGCAGTAATAAACAATAAGAGTCAGCTACAGGATTTTGCTTCATGATTAATTGAGGGAATTGACATCATTACAAGTAGAAGATGACCTGGAAAGGCAGGATATACATTGTAAATAAACTGTCAGTAGCATATTACATGTACCTACTATCTAACAGAGGTCCTTTGAAAACTCTCTAACTTTATTGTCACAAGCTCATGGCATTTTTTTTTTCAGCTGAAGCTGCTCACCTTTTAATAAGGAATGTCAACTATGAGATCCCATCATTAAAGCGGCAAATAGGAAAGTGTCAGCAGACTCAAAGGGTAGGGTTGATTAAAAAAGAGATTAATTGATGGAATTGATTGGTTATGACAAACATTGTTATCTATTAGTGGCTAGTGCATGCATGCCCTCGAGGTACTGTTAGTACTAACACATTGACATGTACTGTGTGATTAAGGATTGCACAAGGAAGGAGAGTGAATATTCATCCAATGCAGCATTATTTAAAGAAAAGTATCAAAGTGTGTGCCGACAAATGGGTATTAAGGTATGTGTATGGAATTGTAATGATCTGTAAGTTTGCAAAGCTTACATCTACTATAAATGGGTAATATACACATACATGTACACATTTATTTACATTTATATGGGCAACAAGATTCAATTTTATTTTCAGGGTGATGATGTGAAAACAGAATTATTGAGTCTACTGAATGAATTGCCTGAACTATACAAAGGGATTGTATCATCCATTGGCAGTTTAAAGAATGCAACTCATTATTACGAGGCATTTGTCAACTTTTTAGTTCCAAGGTGTGTTACACAACATACATCTTATTCATTGTGTAAATACATATACTGTAAACTTTTTTTCTGCAAGTCGCC